TGCTGAGAATTCAAATCATGTTACTGGATGAGAAACTATTAACAGGTGTTCAACATGCAATTCTCCAACTTACTACTCCACATTGACACCCAAGATTACAGTAAACAATATGTAATGTATATCCTAAAATGTACCTAATTAATCATTACTCTCAACCAAATCCTCATTTTAAAGGGCTAATATGGAGATAGAAGGTGCCTGGAACTGAATACATCTGCCTTAAACTCCAGATAAAGTATCATCTGCATATTGTTATCTGGAGTGGCTGTAATTAAAACACAATCTTTCAATTAATTAGCATCACAATTAATCAGCACAATGAATTCAATTAATCAGCAGCACAACATGAGTGAGTATCTGAAATCAATTCTTGCCTGAAGTGAGACTAACTAATTTTTCAAGTGAGACTAAAAAACTATGTATGTTTATTCATGTGTACTCATTTTTCTGCTTATTTAAATACAATCACCACATTTTGGGAGTTGAACAGGGATGAGCACACTGAAGAGCTAAATTTTGTCAAGCTTTTGCATACCATGTATTTATTCTCACCTGTTTTACCTTATCTGGGTTAAAAATGGCCTGGTGGAAATTTCTTTTTACAGTATAACTTTTATATCAAAATTTGTTTCCAACCATTGAGCTTCCTCAGACATCCAGGATGTGTCCATTTAAAGTTCACATGGATGTGTCCAAAGTAGTGCACAGCTTAACCTCTGTGAGGATACCAAACTGGATGCATCCCCAGCAGCAGATGCTAGTTTGATGTTTGGAGAGTTGCGTCCATTTTGGATGCAACTAGGACATGTACCTTGATAAGTTATGAAAAGAGGCAGATCCCTCCATTTAACAGGTGTGACCCATGCGTAGGATGATGTCAGCAGGGTTAAGCATCCCCTCCCCAAATGACAAGTAGGGATGTGGATCTGAGTTGGGACATGGAATCTCAGGAATTAAGAAAAAATTGGGAAGAAAAACGATTTAACATTTCTTGGAATTGCGCATACATTCAAGCACTCACACACACACACACACACAAAAAGACAAGACAAGGCAGTCATTTCAGTTCATATATAAACTGAAGTGCATGTTGACTCTCTGTACAATTGAATTCAGTTGACCAGCAAGTTTTCTGTAAACTTTTCAGCATGATGGATGAATATCAAATATCCATTTGAATTTTTTCCCCAAAGAAGTGTGTGTCTCTTATCACATTTTTATTTAATGTTTTCTGAACAGGCAAGGGTAATTGTTTCTTAAAGTGAGGGGGAAATGGGATACTCTATCCACTTCTTTTCTGGTTGCTTCTCCTCCGAATTATGGGGAACCAGATATATCCACTGCCAGCTGTCTGTGAAAAAACAAAATTATTTTTCCTTCCCAAGATCAGGAAATAGGTTGTTTTTCAATTTGCTCATCTCAGTCTGAACACTTCCTCCACAGTTCCACCCTAGAATTCTTTGGAATCTTTTTTTCTAAATCTGATGATAACAGCTGGAGGTGGAGGATATCTGATACTCCAGTAAGGTGAGGGTGACAAGAAGCCACGAAAGGGAGGGGGGCGGGAAGATTCATCCCCAGCACCCCCTGCCCCCTCCATTCTCCCATCCCTTAATTTTGAAAAACAGCTACCCTCCTCTGAGCTGTTCAGCAAAAAATTAGACAGTGAAGAGAATACCCACTTTTCCTCGAGAAAGGCATTCAAGTGGTGAAGAAAAGAGAAACAATTTGCAAATCTTTGAAGCTTAAACATTTTGGAATCCCTAAGCATATTACCACATAAGATTTAGAAAATGATTTATTCCTGTTTTTAGATATTCATAAGGTGTACACATTTTTATTGCAGTGACATTTCATGCTCATATCGTTTGTCATATGCTGAATTCTCTTTTTAAGAATTGAAAAGATAGACCTGGCAGCATATTCAATGTTCAAGAAATTAATAACATAAATCACTTGAATCATTTTTTATTGTCCTTGATTAATATTATATTCAATATGTGTTGGAATTTTTTTCCTCCTGAAATTTATTTTGTGTATAAACAAGTGTAAAGAAATTCAATTATGTTGATCATAAAATCAAATTTATTTATCCTGAGCTAATCCCACAATAATTGAGAACACATTCTTTAAAACTCCTCATGCACCTAGTTTTTTTTATTTAATTGAATTTATTCACAATTATTGGGTTAAATGTCCTCAGCAATTTCATTTATGGGCACAAATCTAATGATATGTTTTTACATACATTTTATCGTGATCGCAAATTCTTTTGCATGAATTATCTTTTTAATAGAAATTGTCAGGCACATGCCTCAAGTTTTCTTTCGGAAAATTTAATTGCAAAAGTCTTTGCGGGCATTTTCTTGGATGTTTGGTGTAGCAGTTGTGGGCTTTATTGTGGACACAGATTTTTAAGACCCTTGCAATTATGTGTGCTCTTGCAGTAAAAAATTGGAAGTGTGCTTGCATTTGGGGAATGAAATTTTCATTGGCAATCAACACCCCTGGTAATGAATGATGCATACACTAACCAATTCATATCAGTGTCAACATGCTTGGTTGTGCCACAAAGAGTTGATTACTGGAATAACTAATAGCAGAACATTATTAGAGTGAACTTGTTTTTTTTTTCAAAAGCAACTTCATGGGGGTCATAAACCATATTGCCTTTTCTCTTTTAAAGTGGTTGAGGTATGCATTTGAAGCAGTTGTGATGGGGTTACTCACTGTCTACTTTGGACCTTTGCTGAAAAATCTCAGTCAAAAGGAAACTCCATCACCCACTGGCAGCATTGATGAAACATCTGTAGAGACTGACTGCTGACTGTTGAGATTGAAAGTCATATGCTGCAATTTTTACAATGTCATGTATTTCTTGATGAATTTTGCAAATAAAAAATTTTTCCTCACACCTTGGATCACAAGAAATATTTCTCAGGGATGGATTGCATTTTATCTCTGAGCAATCCTGGTTTCAATGAAGAATACTTGAAATGTGTACATTAGATCTGTGATTTATGTTACTCCAATGCAAACATGCATATTCTGATTATGACTGTTGTTTATTATTCTGCCTCAACTTTGTGTGCTCATTAAGGGTAGGAATACTGTACAATTTATCAAGTCTTCAATTTCATGATTTTGCTTTTCAGGATGCTGGACACAGAAAAGTTGTGATTTTTTTCAAGATACAACTTTCAAAAGTATGTAATGTAATCAGAAGCTGCTTATAATTCACAATTGTTTCAAGCATGGGTGATGAGCATATTGATCTCATTATGGCCAGTTTCCAGTTTTATTCAAATTAAATTTTGAACTGTATTGAGTTATTCAATCATTTTGAATTCAGTTCACATGTGCATGATGAGGTCTTGGCATGTTATGAGACATCCATGAGACTTTGAATGCGTGTGTATTATGAGGATGTATCTCATTTCCTATATTTGAAATAATTTATGACCATGCCATATTGTGATCTAAGTTCCACAACATCTTTAGTGAGAAGATTTCTTGTTCCTTATTGCTGGTTATTTCAGTAAATAATTTCTCATTAATTCCATAGAAGGGTGGTAGTTAAATTTTGTATCCTACATGATTAATAGAAGCATGAACTTCTTCATTAGGTAGCAATTAGGCAAGCAATGAGTGTGCGTATAAAGATATACAAGGCCTTTTATATACTCTGCAGCCCAGCATATTGGGCAAGAATGGCCAGGCAGTGCTGACCAGGGTTTTTGATGCAGCTTTGAGGTTCATACTGCAAACACAATCACAAGTTGAAATATCCTTTGCAATAGCAGGAAATTTGCAATGTATCCAATTATTTGACCTCAGAACCTCTCACAATGGCAAGGGATTAATGGAGAAACAATTGCAACAGCTTTTGCAAATTTTTTGCATAGACATTTGTTTTCATATTTTTAAATAACTCCCAGTTTCATTATTTCCACTGATGCATATGTTCCCCTGTTCTCTGAAAGTGGGCATAATCTTCTTGAATGTTTTTCCAAAATTCTGATAAGATTCTCAATTGTAAAACTTGAAAAATGTGGAAAATGATTATTCCCCGTTTAAATTTGAATTCTTTTCCAAAGAAAGGTGGGTCTATTATCTTCACCCTTTCTGATTTGTTCTTTCTTGAACAGGCAAGGGCGGGTAAGGGTTTCTTGAACTGAGGGGGAAGTGGGGTACTCCATCCTCTGTTTTCCTGGTTACTTTTCATGGATGAGAAGAAGCAACACCACTTGATGGTAGATGGAAAATTCATCTTCTATTCAAAATAAGGAGGTAAGGTTTCTTAATTTTCATCATTTCCTCCCAAGTAAGACCACCTCCTCCACAGTTCATACACACAATTCTCGGTAAGTTTTGTTATATTTTGGCTGCTAATAAAAAAATTTAAACATATCCTAACCTTTCTAGAAGTAAATGGAGTAAAACTTTTGGAAAAGGCTCAAAGAAAATTTGGCAGTTAACATGCTAATAAGGGCTGAAGAAGAATAGCACATGCAATTCATGTACTTCAGGTACAATTTTGATGCAGAAAGTCTCAAGCCAAGAATCGCAATTATCTTTTCCTGATTTTTTACCAACACACAATGCTTAACTGAACCCTCAAGACTTTTTTCCTTCCAGCAGATGAGACAACTGATCTCAACAAAATCTCAGACTTGAGTAATGTCTAACAATTTATACCAGCCCTTCAATTTCTTTGTAGGAATGAATACTGTTTCTGCTGTGTTTGGAATATTGAACCTCCACCACACGCCTCAGACCCTGAATTTTATTTGGGCCATCCAAGCAATTTTTACATTTTGGATGAGGTTTTGGGAATATTTTCCCAAAATTCATATTCCTGTTGGAGTAGGCACACAAAGAACATATGTTCCCAAAATGTGGCCCATGTTCCAGAAATGGTGAATGTACTAATCATCCTCGAACTATAACCACCTGAGTTTATCAATTCCGAGCACAACGAATCCTCGAATAACGTATCGAGACAAACTGGATCATCATTGTGAAGGTTGACATTAATCATTAGTTCCTTGTCTCCAATTTTCCACCTGATACATTCTACATTGGTGTTACTGAATCATACTGTAACTTCATCAATATGAATCCTTCTGATGGTGGATTCATTGAAACAGATGATGGCCACAGTTCAGCAAAGCCCACTTCAGGCACTCAGTCAAGATCCAAGTCAAGAAAGGTTTGGGGTTATTTCTCATTTCATTCCCATCAATGAAATTCTAAATAATCCTTCAGAAGGGTATGCAAGAAGTGCATGAAACAGTTCAAAGAAATCCAACTGCTTTCTAGAATGTTGTGTTTGATTTTTCTAAAAATGTAGAAAAAAATTGTAGTGGCAGTGATGATAAAATTGCTTGACTTGAGCCACATTTGCATCCCTGGAATAATTGCTTACCTGTCTACAGTCGTTGCTGCTGGCCCTTCTCTGTACTCTGTTGAGTAACTCCATGTTTACTGCATCAATGAACCAGCTTTTCGGTGAGTTTGACTACCTTGTCTCAGTCCATCACCTTGAATTCTGTGTTGTCTATACTAGGGTTAAAAAATGTATATGTATATATATATATATATATATATAAATGCAGTAAAATCTCATAACAATGCACTCCCATCAGGGACCTGAGAAAAATGTTTTTATAAAAAAAATGTTATGTTGAGATTAATGATTTTTTGCACATTTCAGACTGGAATTTTATTGGAAATGGGGAATACATACTTCAAAATGCTTCTAAAACAAATAATTCCTAGCATGATTATTGAGTACTTTTGATGAAATCAAGATAAATCCTTTGATGTAAATATAACTCTCTTTTAATTCAACCAACAGTTGTAATAAAGTATTGCTTGTCATCAAAAATGAAATCAAATTAAAGAAAATTACATATGGTAAAAATATGTCACTTCCTTTTCAATCAACTTATTCATGCATATAGCTCTTTCAAACATAGAGGAACATTCTTCTAACCTTCTGTTTTTTTTTTTAAATGCATAGATTCTAAAATGGATGAGCTAAAGAATTTCCAAAAATGTGTCCTGTTGTGATTTTTTTGGACACAGACTTTTCTATGCATACATTTTTTTTTTACATTTTTAATGCTATATTTTCCGATTTTTTCTACATTTTCTCCCATTTTATGAGGAATCCCTATATGGGAAATGCACAGAATCATGCCAAAAATTTTGTTATCATGAGATTACAGCCAAAAATTACTTTGTTTCTAATGAAATTTTCATAATGTTCCGCCTATGGGAAACTGCCAGCAGGACCTCAAAAAAAATTGTGAAAAATAAAATTTGTTATAATATAAAATTTGTTATACCTAGATTTGTTGTTAAAGAATTCTACTGTATACTCATATATGTACAGTGGAATCTTGTTACAACAAAGTCACAGGGACCATGGCAAACTTTGTTATATCAAGATTTATGAAATTTATTTGCATAAACAACACTGTAACATGATCAAGCATTTCACTGCTTGAAATTGCTAGTGATTAAACTCTGTGAAATTTTCTTTGCCACAGAATTCACTAAGACATCTCACACTTGCTTTAGGAACTTGAAGACATCATCATTTTGCTAAAATTTTTGGAAACTTACAATGAATTTGACAATTTAAAATAGAACTCAACACAGAACAGCATTTGAATAAAATACATCAATTTTTGTGGCTCTCTGAGTTCCAGCTCCAGTTTTCTACTATACTTCCAGACTCCTTAGACATTAGATCAATTAATCAGGGTACATTTTTTTTCTGAGCTTCCTGCTGTCCATTAATGTAACCAATTTTTAGCTTCCTGTTTTTTTAACTCTGGGGAAATTTCTTGTCCACCATTTACTGATGAGCCCAAGGAAACAGGGTATTGTACAAAAATTCAGGAAAGAAAATTTCTCAAATCAGAGCATAAATTGATAAAATTATAGGAACATTTTAAAAGAAGGGGACAAAAATTCATTGTAACCAGAGAGCCTGTAAAATATTAATTTGTTAAAGCAAGATTAATTTAAACTAAACCTCAAGTGTAACTGCCAGGACTTGAAAAAATTGTTGTTGGCAAGAAATTTTTATGAGATTTGTTGTAATGAGTCTACCGTACATATATTTTTCATTTCTGCTGAAGTGCTTATGGGAAATATGAGGGTCTTTACACGGTGTAGCACAAAATATGTAATATGTGCTCTCTACATATTTTGAGGATTCTCTCTTCTGTTTGGCAGATGAGTTGTATTTTTCTTCATCTTTCAGAAACATTTTAAAAATTTGGTATAGGTTATGCCAAATTGGGGATTGAAGTTGCATTTTCTTGGCTTTGCATCTTGCAAAGAGAACTGATGATGTTCAGTTTTTGCTGAAACATGGGAATGGGCTGCGTATTTGATGAATCTCTGCAATGCAGCAAGAAAAAACAATGCAAAACACAAGCCACAGTTACCCAAGAAACATTTATCATCAAGTTGATAAGCAACTGTTCCCTAATTTCAAGACTTGAAAGACTGAAAGAATGACAGAGGAATTTTCAAGAATGAACCACATGAAAAATACTTGCTTTCATTTCAGGATATTTCATGGAAACAAGTAGGGAAAAAGTTGTAAGGATGGCATGGGTGAAACTTGTACCTCCTGTTGCAGTAGCCAGTGTGCCGTTTGCGATTTCCATGGCCATCCTGGGTTCAAATTACATTGGATACTTTAGGTAAGATAGGCCAATTTACATTGATTGGGTCTCATATATGCTTCCAGCTATAATAAACAATGTTTTTTCAGCATAATTGTGTTTTCTGCAGTGATCCTACTCTTGGCATGTTTACTTCCGGTGCTGTCACTGCTGATCAAGCCTCTTCAGGTCTATTCAGGGTTAGTTGGCAAACTGTGTTGAATGGTATATCGTGTCCCAAAGCACAGCAGGTGCTGCTGCTTCTGGCAGAAACCTACCAAGAAAGCTTGTTGCATCTCAAGGCCAGTGAGCCTTGCCACAAACCCATTGTGGCAAGACTTACTGAGCCTCACCCAAGGCCAAGAAATGTTTATCACTTCCTTGATTTTCCCAAAATTGGCCTACCCTGAGCCAAGAATAAATCAGAATAGTTCTGAATGACCCAGTCTGAGCATCTGGGTGTGAAAGTCTTTCTTCTTTTTTGAGAGGGGGCATGAGAATCAAGTGATAAAGGGCCTTTCAACTTGATTTACCGTATTATTACTCCTTCTGAGCAAACCAACCCATCTTACCGTTGACTAAGCCATTAATTTTAATAACAGCCAAATGACAATCTGGGGCAATGAGAATGAACTCCTCTGAACAGAGTTATTGTTCTTTAGAACTTGCATTCTGATGGCTGCTCAATCAATTTCCTTTGTCTGGGATCCAATGGACACGTGACATTGTATTTGTCATCTTAACATTAGATTTTAATCAAAGAGCAAATAATATAACCATACAAATATCTGGATAAATAATATGGTGCAAATAGAACCTTCATATTAGAGGTAAGCATTTTCTCCGGCTTGATTCTGTGGCCTCTTTTCAGAACAAATGTCAAGAGGCCAGCAAAACATTTATTGTTGAGATGATTTTGTTGCACAGAAACCATATAACATGGGAAGAGAATCCTGTGGGCGAAATAAATGTAAAAAAAAAAGTGTATAAGAAGGATCATTGTAGAGATGTAGAGAGTCAAGAAGTCCACGTATCTCATCAATTGACAAGATAACATTGAATCACAAGAAAGAACCTTCTCAAATATAAAACTAATTGTCCTCCTAAAATCAATCAAAAGGATGCAAATGCACTAATATTTGTGCCCTGGCTTACATGGATAGATTTTACCAGGTCTCCAATGGTGTTCTCAATGGACTGCTAATGTGTTGTGCAATGCTTAGCTCAAAATGCAAAAACAGGGGAGCATTGGCTCAAAATCCCAACCATTGATAGAAAGCATTGCAGAACACATTTGCAGGCCATTTACTCAAAGTTTTGCAGCCCAATGCTGCAATGCCCCCAATATCTGGTGGATTCTGACTAAAACTTACTATCTGTTATAGATTTCAACAATTTATTATTTCCAGAGACAAAGCATGATACAAAGGATCACAAAGTCACTCTGGCTGCTGTGTGATGGGAAGAACAAAAGGGTAGAGATCTTTTTCTTGTAAAGTTACATTCCACCTGGCTAACTTCCTCAAAAGCACTTGAAGTTCTTGATAAACTCTAGATAAACTACATTGATGCTAATGTTGTAAGAATAACATGTGAAAGAAATTGTATCTTTCAAATTTTCACTGGTTTTGGGGAATTTAACCCAAATCGGCTATTTGCAGTTACGAAATTACTAGAAGGGGTGATTGATAATTGATCAGTTATATTGATCAGATAAGATCCCAGAATAAAATCCAACCCAAAGAAAAATTGCAAATTGCACACAGATGCCCCAGATGCATCAGATAGCATCAGATACACAAGATGAAGGTCGCATGATGATCCCAAATGCAAGCCTTCTGAAGCCTTTACTTTGAGCCAGGTTTATTGGCTGACTTCTGACTTTTGCCAAGAAGGCCCCGGTTCAATTCCTGGCATGGGAACCATATTTTTTAACTGAAAAAAGCATCCAGACTTCAAAGATATTTAATTATCATTTCTTGAATATCTTGATTAAATTAAACACAGCAGACAATTCCTACCATTACTTTCTAACAGTTATTATAATCAAATAAATAATTAATAAATTGCTATAATCAATGAATTATTTGTATAATCCAGTAGAATCATGGAGAGTATTTCCGAAATTAGGATCCTCTGATATACCTATCTAAATATAGCCTAATTTCTCAATAAATTCTAAATCTTTAAATGGAGTCCAAGTATCTTTCCTCCTTGCTGTGTTTTGGAGCTGTCCAGGCCAAACTTGCAGAGTGCAAAAATAAGCACAGCACAAGGGCAAGTGGAGATTCTTTTGTCCATTTGCACAAACAAGTTTTTAGAGGAAGATCAACTTTATGACTCCATGCAAAATCCATAAAGAGCAGAATTGCTCCCTTCCTGTGCCAAATCCCAACATTTTTTGGTACCTCCCATTACCAGCCATAGCCCACAAAACTGGACCTAATTAAGTTTCAGGATCTTTTGACCATTATCAATATTTTTTTGGGATGGCCAGGTTGGAAAATTTGTAGTGGAGTTTTTTTAGGGAATGTAAGAGAATTTCTCACACTCCCCCCAAAAGCGGCTTTACTGGTTTCCAAGGATCTCTTTCCAAAATCATGGACTCTACTACAGCAACTCTATTCAAACCTCTCTCAAGATCTAAGCCATCAACCCTGACAGTTACTTTTCTTATCTCTCCATCCTTTGAAGGATGTAACGCAACTATTTTACCAATTTTTCTTTGGGTTGGATTTTATTCTGGGATCTCATCTGATCAATACAGCTGATCAATTATCAATCACCCCCTTCTAGTGATTTTGTAACTGCGGATAGCCAATCTGGGTTGTTTGGGTTAAATTCCCCAAAACCAGTGAAAATTTGAAAGATACAATTTCTTTCAAACGTGCTCCATTCAAGTAGTAAGAAACAAAAAGGAAACAGTGCCCTCCTGTGAACTAACATCTGTTCATGCTTATTTCCATATGCAGATGGATGAGTGCTGCTAGCATCATTCTGTCACATGTCAGCTCAGGCATGTTTGTCACAGCTATTCTGTGCTTTGGTGTTCAACAATTGGAGCTGTACCAAAAGGGAAAGTTTTCTCCTGACCTATTTGCCTGCTCCTATCTGGTTGTCCTCATTGGTAGATTGACTGATGAAGGCATACATTATTGGATGGATATGCGCTTTCATGAAGAGAAAGAGCTTGGAAAATTGGGGCCATTGTTTTTTGCATTACTGCTTTCCATTCTTGTTTTAGGTTGGTGAATAAGTTCACAGGCAGAATCAACAATAGTCTGACAAATCCTTTGTTCAAATTCTACAGTTTCTTTTTTGGTTGGAAGCAAGTGGTATGAGTTTAAAGCTGGGAAGCAGCATCATACCTGTATCAAGTTTTTAAGATGCATATGTGTGAGTATATCCCAACAATCTTTATCTTGGAATTTGAACTAAACTTGACTAAATTAATCTTTGGATATCAGAAGGCAATCATCAACAAGGTTCTCTGCAGAGGTCAAAGACAAGGGCCTCACTGGCTTGATTATGCCAGAGGAAGTGGATTCAAATTAGAGTTCATTACCAATGGCAGAAATGTTCTGATACTTTTTTACATGTGCCTGCCAATAGCCTGCTATTTCTTTGTGCAAGCACAAAATGTGAGTTAATGCCAACTTCATTTGTTTTTTTTGTGTAGGACACAGGTGAATTTAATTAGTAAACAAATGCAGGAAAAACCAGTAAAACACCAAAAACGGAATGTTGTGCATTGGGAAATCCGCAGTATTTCCCCATTGGGCAACCACTTGAAAGACAATAATTCAGCTACAATTTGGACACTGTTTGTCAAGCTCTCAAAGCATTTGGTTGCTCGAAGAGATACTCTCTGAATTGTTAATCTTTTGTTGGAATTTATCTTGTTGTTAGATTGCTCTCATTCTTTTGTGAAATACATTTATATATCTTTTCTTCTTTGGAGATTCTACCAAGAATCTCCCTGCCAAGTTCCCCAGCTGCGTGTTGTCTTTCATTCTGATTTATTTGCATTACTTCATTAAGATTAATATGATTTTCCTATTTTGCCTTTGTATCACTTACAAAATTGGTAGCAGAGCGCAGTTTTTCTTGTACAAAAAAAGCTAACGTGAGGGGATAAAATCAAGAATTCTTGTGAGAGAAAAAATGCAAGTTCACTATTAATTGCAGAAATAAAACACTTCAATCAGCCAAGCAGCGGCTGGGGTGAATAACACCCTAGTTTAATGTTGCTATATTTTGTTAGATAAAAAGGCAAGTCCAGAAATCTTCTGATTGGAAATACAAGTCCAAAAATAACCGCAGCATATTGCCGAGAACCCAACAACCGATGTTGTCAGTACATATCACACTGTTTGAATGCCCGAATTGGATTAAATTTAGTAACCAAGAAAACTTTACAGGTCAGTTAAAGATGACCTTTCATAGATAAAACAGGAAGGATAGAAATGAATTGACCTTGGAGGTCAGGGAGGAATGTCTCCTTGAAAAGAAGGCTGAGAGTTTTGGCAGCCTCGGGTTCCCACGAGATTAATGGGAGGATGAGTTTGGCACCAGCCAAACTCGTCCTCCGATTCTAATAAATTTTGCAACATAAGCCCCCCCCCCTTTGTTTTTGAGAAAGAGGTGAACCTTTTTTGAAGAAACAAAGAACACTTTATGAATAAGAAATCCGAGGCACTGAAACAAAAGGAACAGATACTTAAAGGAGAGGAAACGGCAAGGAAAAACACATTCATAAATCGCAACTGAGAAGTGAGAGTTTTAAGAGTTATTTTCTTCCAAAAAAGTGTTTCCTTAAAAGTGCAGCTCGCAAGTGTTTTTCTTTTGTGTTATTACTTTTCTGATGAAGGGGTCTCACTCCAAGTGAACCAGGATGGGATCCATGTTGATTCGTGGCTCCTATTCTGACTCACTCCAAGTTGCTTCCTGTCGTCATTCTGAGTCGGTCAAGTTTTTTTTTCTGTGTTCCAAGTGTTCTCCCCTTTTTCTTGATGAAAGCAGATTGAACAGTGTTTTTTAGGATTAAGAGTACATTTCAAGTCAGGTTTTCTTAGATGACAAAAAGGAGGCTGGCCAGGCCCAAAAAGTAAAGAAACAGTATACTTCCTCATGGACGGTTTGTTGATGACAGTGTTGTGGTCCATTTGAGTTACTTCTTTGCAGGCTAGCTTATTCCGTTGTTGAGTCAACCCATAGGTTTTTTCTCCCTTTTGATTCTGGCCACCAAACCACTGAAGAACTGTAGATAGTGCGCAGTAGAGTGTAACCGGTTTTGTATTCCGAGCCAACAGTTTTGATACGGAATTTTTCCGCCAAAAATAGAGTGCAATAGTTTTCTTTCTTAAAAGTAAAAAAGAAAGATATCCGTGGTTCCTTGCCAAGTTAGATTAGAATTTGTTCAGATTCCGTATTGGTGTGGTTTTTTATTCCCGCAGTTTCAATTCCAAGATAGCATTTTCCATTCAGATTTCCGACCTTAGATTTCCAATAGGATCACCATCCCCAGCAAATAATTTTGCCATTGCAACCTGCGTTGCAACTCCATTGGCCCCCCATTCTGACGGGAATGTTGGGCTAACGGTTGTTTGGTCACTGTGAAACGGCTGGGGGAGCAGCCATTCCCTGGGTTGTTCTCAAATGCAGCCAGCATGCATTGCCAATGACCCCTGTTTCCCAGCATGCATGCAACCACCCCCCACCCACCCTTTTAATTACTGTTGTACAATCCATTCAGAAACCCATTGCACACCCATTCTGAAAACGACCCCAGATATGGAGCAGAAAAAAAGAAAAATAAATTCCCATTCAATTGCTGCTGTTTTCTTCTTTACCTTGCTTTCTTTGTGTTATCCTCTTTCTTCTTTACTTATTTATCTCTGCTGTGCTTTCTGTTCACAATATTCTTTCCTGCTGCTGATGCTCCTTTGCTTTGAATATGCTGTCCTGATGATGCTCCTGCTGGGTTTTGAACTGGGGCCATCTGAGTGAGAGTCAGTCACCTTCACATCTAGCTATGGGCACACAAGCTAGGTACAATGCAAATACTTATGGTACTTATACTAAAATGAGGTATTATCAGATTAATTTAGAAAATTTGGATCTGGAGTGTAATCAGGTTTGAAAGGAGTTCAGGAAATCATTTTTTGTGTAAAACACCTCACCAACATTTCTATCATGAATCAGAAATGATCTGAATCATATCAGAAATGTTCAAAGTTAATGTACTGTAAAAAATGCAGAACCAAATACATTCTTGGAGCAAGATCATTGAGCTCCAAAGAATTGCAATACACTGTTGAACATAAAGCAATATCTAAAATGATCTTCAAACTTTGAAGATCTGTAAAAAATCTTATGGTACTTATACTAAAATGAGGTATTATCAGATTATTTTAGAAAATTTGGATCTGGAGTGTAATGAGGTGTAAAAGGAGTTCAGTAAATAATTTTTTGTGTAAAAAACCTCACCAACATTTCTATCATTCAAAAATCTGACCTTTTTTTTACCCTGATACTGAATTGATTCTTGAAACATTTTCTCTGAATAACAATTATTAAAAAATTTTTTAAGAAATGTTCAATGTTAATGTACTGTAAAAAATGCAGAACCAAATACATTCTTGGAGCAAGATCATCCAACTCCAAAGAATTGCAATACACTGTTGAACATAAAGCAATATCTAAAATGATCTTCAAACTTTGAAGATCTGTAAAAACATCCCTAATTAAGATAGAAGGGAGTTCAAAAAAGCAAATGTTCCTTAAAACAAGGGCTTTCTTGATATTTGATCATATAATATGAGTTTCAATTTAAAAGCATTCTCCATCATTTTTTGTGTGATTTCACTACATCACATGGCATGTGATGTGGAGCAATGTAGAACAATGTACAACAGTTGTACATTGTTCCACATCATTTCACATTGCTCCACATTGTTCCACATTGCAGTACATAGCATGTCATGCAGTGTAAAGCTATGTAGAACAATGTAGAACAATGTAGAACAATGTTCAAGTGGAAAATCATTCTACATTGCACAAAAAATGAGATATATTGATTTTTATTTGAATATCATAAAATGTAATGAAATAGCAAGAAAGGCCTTGTTTTAAGGAACATTTGCTTTTTTGAACTCCCTTCTATCTTAATTAGGGATTTTTTACAGATTTTCAAAGTTTGAAGATCATTTTAGATTTTGCTAAATTTTTTTTAGCAAAATTTACAGTTGTGCTCAACAATGAATCAGCAATGTTCAAGTGAACATTGCAGGTACATTGTCTCAACTAAGACTTGAATTTCAAGGACATTTCAGTTTAAATTGGCAAAATTGATATTGTCTCCAATTATATTTTAATGTTTATATATGTGTACATTGCTAATGTGTTGGTACTCCATTGTTCAACGATGCTCTGAATGGGGGTGCATCTTATTGCCCACAAAACATTGGGAGTACCATTCCAACATTGGGAGTATCATTCCAAAATGCACCAGCCCTGCGTTCAGGAATGGTGCTCTCAACAAGGGGAGCATTTTTATTGCTCAGGAATCGTTGGGAGTACCGTTCAAAAATGATTCTCAGCATGGCTTCTTCTCCAGCCATGTTCTGAATGGACTGCCAACAAGTCTTGGAACGCTTCCCTGAGAATGCCACAGCAGGTTGTTGGGCTCTGCTCCCAACCATTCTGAGAATGGGTTCCAGAACCTGTTGGCAGTCCATTTCCTTAACAGTTCACTGCCCAACGCCCCCATTATTTGCTGGGTGGTGGGGAAAAAAATGTTTGACTGTTGAATTAGTTAATCTACAAGAAAACTCCTTTTCATCAACGCAAGAAAGAATTCACTGATGCACACAATGAAAAATTTAAAATTACAATTTATATGGAAAATTTCATTCATTTAAATTTTGCATTTGGTTGCTAATTGCTATACAAAAAAAACGCATACAATGACGGTTGGGCATTTTATTATAATTATTTAGGTTGAAAAAGTGACGTACATTACAATACTTTTTCATATATAATAACATGTTTTTTGGCCAAAAAGCTTGAAATCTAGTAATTTTTGAACTGAAACGTGAAACTTTTGAATTTTTCAAAAATTTAATGAGGAAAATTAAAAAATTTTTGGTATCATTTTGCTCATCTTATATTGCTCTCTTATTCAACATTTTAGAAGTTCAGAAAGTTCAGATCATACACTCTTCAGGATTACTTTTGTTCCGTATTAAACTAATTTAAATATCTAATTTTATACTGAAAACGTTGAAAAAAGTACAATTATAGAAGGACTTTATTGGTGTTTTTGGAGTGGAGCTGGAGTGGGACAAATATGTTTCCATTGTACAAGGGAAGTGATGTTTCACAAAACAATTTTGTACTACTAAATGCATCCAGAAGTAGATTATTTTAATCATGCATCAGAGACCAACTGACTTAGTGTAGAGGACATTTTTTTCGGAATGGCAAAGGATTCTTGAAATCATACCATTTTTGTATGTCTTCAACTCCGAACTTCTACATTTGCAGTACAGTACTGTACTGTTTATTCAGGAAAATTAAATATATTGTACTTTATAATTCAGTACACTGTACAGTATGTTCTTCCTAACCTCTCCAATAATTTCCACATATATCAATGCAGTCTGATATTGACATAGAACTTTGAGAAGAGAAATTCCCTTTTTTTATGCACAGAACATCAGAATTTTATGAAACTGTATATACAGTATATCCTTTTAAAGAAAATAAATCCGCTCCATGCCTTCAAATATAGCTTATACTGTATACAACATTCTTATCAATGCATTTCCTTGTCCACTCATGATTTCTACATTCCAATATGCAGTAGCTCTTGCTTATTTTCTGGCAAAAAACAATAAATAAATTTGCATTGAATAATTTGATACTAGTGCATTCTCAGCAGATTGAGGTGGTTATCGCTTAATTTCTCCTTATAATTCCTGTGCAATATGAGCATTATGTAAATTATGTAAAAATGTATGTAAAGTATGCATCATTGCGTAAAAATTCTGCGATAATTTTTAATCTCTATCTATATATGCAGTAATCACAATTAATTTTTCAGATTTACGATTTTGATTTTCTTTTCGAGCGTTTCGCGTTTGAAATCTGATCACAGTTTTTTTTAAGACAATCTTGTTCCTTTTGGTTTGATCACCAATAAAAAATAATGTGACGAATATCAAACGAAGTATTGTGCAATTGCTGATCGTTGAATACTAAATGAGACGTTAAATACTGCTGTACTTTATGGAGGCATATTTAAGAATAAGAAAATGGATCACGATGATATTTTCAAATTAAGGCGATATTTTCCAAATGAGCCAACATAACCGACCAATTCTTCAATAATATTTTGTAGAAACTTATTGTCTTATTCTGTATCTGCATTTCTTTCAAAATTGACGTGTTTTTCGTCTAGCTTATGTTCTAGAGTTCTAGACTGACTAGACTCCAGAGAAATTATTTCTGCTACATGATGCTTCGTTTCTTCAAGATACTCTTTGTATATGTACTTCAATCAAAAATTGATTTTCCATCAGGGCCTTGTGGAGAAATAAAACAATCATGCGAACCAACATCAGTGGAAGGACATTTTGAGCGAGAAGTGATTCAGGTTTCAGTGATCCGAGATGAACAGATCATCGACACAGTTTTCACGGTTTCTCTGGTTTGCCTCGTCGTCATCGCCTACATCAACATGGGCTCAACCCTGGATCTAAGCATAGTCAAGGCAAACTTGAAGCGACCGAAAGGACCAGCTGTCGGCTTGTTTTGTCAGTACATATTCATGCCATTGGTGAGATTTCTTCGTAATAGTTTTACTGGGGAATTGCATTGGATGTGTGAATGCCAGCAAATTCTGAAAACTCAAAATATATAAACTTTGGATAAGGTAAATTATGTAAACCATTTTGAATGGTAATCTTCTGGGCCTTAAATAATATTTAATCTTAAATTGCTTCTTAAAAGAGTTGACAGGATGCTGAACTTCGAGGCAGGGGTTCATTTCAGAGGGGGGAAAATGCATAAAATTGTAAGCGGATCTGATAAAAAGGACCTACACCATCTTTTGTTGACCACAAAAAGCCCCTCTTACAATAAACATGCAGTAAATGTAAATTTATTGCTGGAACTCCCAAGGGAAGGAAAATTTTCAAAGAATCCCCTTAAACCTGTCCTAATTCTGGCAAATGCCTTTTTTTCAAATGAAAGTTACTAATTTCTGCAAATACCTGCGCTGTCATATATTTTTTGCAGACTTTATAGTTCTTCATCTTGGATTACATTTTAAATACCCTTCGTCCCTTTTTCTCCATGTGCATTTGTGTACAATGCCACATTCACTCAAAAAAAGGCTTCAAAGATTATGTGTCAACTTTTTGATGACAGATTTTTGAAAAAAATTCGAATTGTTCATAAAAGACCTCGCGATTTTTTTCTCAGTTGATTGATAATATATTGGCTTTCATTCTGAAAGAGAAGAGGCTGAAAAATATGTATCTTGCCGAAAGTTCAGAAAGTTTTTTTTTTGGAAAAAAATCATGGGACAAAATCCAATGAATTAGTGCCATTGCCTGAATATAAATATACATTAATTCAAATTAAAACTTACTTAACCATATCACTCACTATATTACTCATTATAGTTTGCCATGGTTCGATTTCACAAATTGTATTCATGTCCTTCCACAGCATAGAGAGTGAATGGAATAATATTTAAACTGACCTTTTTTAGGACTTGAAGGTTTTCTTTTTTCATATACTTGTTGTGCATTGAATCTTCTTTAAGAGGGAATATTTTAGCTAGAAGTCTCTAAATTAGCTTATTAATAATGTATTTAGTTACAGTTGAGCCTCCCCTAGGTCAAATTTCAAGGGACCAGAAAAAAATCAACTTTGGGAGGTTTCAACTTAGGGAGATTTAAAGTTATAGAGGTTTGAGTAGTGGAACCGATCATTTCTTATGAGAAACATAGAATTCACAAAATTGTAAGTGGTAATCTTCTGGGCCTTAAATTGCTTCCTGAAAGAGTTTACAGGAGGCTGAACTTGGAGGCAGGGGTTCATTTGCCTGATTTAGCCTGTCAAATCCTTACAAAGCACATCAAATTACATTTTTATTCCTTTTCTCTTTTATATGTCTAGAAAATAATGTCTCCACAAATTTGACTTACTTAGGCTTTAGAGGAAAAGTCTTTGTGTTTGGAAAGTAAAACATTGTTTCTATATGAGGGAACTCAGAGGGGTACTTCAAAAATTCAAATTCGGGTAAGGAATTCAACTTAAAGAGGTTCAACTTTTCAAGGTTCAAATGTATCAATTTATTAATCAATGTAGCACTCTTGATAATAGAAATCTATTAATTGTTTATTTCATTAAGTCTCAAAACAATAAGACAAGTGAGCAGTAATCATAGCGTAACTTCAGCATTACACACCTGAATGATTCATCCAAATTTCTAACTTTTTTCCATTTTCAAAGGATGATTTATTATGAAGTATACTACCAGATGAAAATTAAATTATTTTAAAGTGGTTTTATTGGCTCATGAGCCTGGATGACGCATGGAGATACATCCTTTTGCCAGTTTTCCTTATCTGGAATTTTATTTTACTAATTTTTTCTTTTATTCCCCAATGCAGATGTCATTTGGGCTTGGATACGTTTTCCTGAAAGAAGACACAGCTCTGAGACTGGCACTTAATGTGAACCTTAGCGTCACAATGACTTTTGTGTCAGCCATTGTGTCATTTGGTGAGCATATGAAAACTATTTATAGTAATCAGCAATAGGAAGGGAAAATTACTTCCAAATCTTGAATCTTAACAGAAGAAACTCACATATTTTAAACCAGCTACAGTCATCAATTATATTGACAAAGGAAAAACAGGGCATAACTGAACATGCACCTTATTGTCATCTCAAAAAAATGCAAAAACATTCATAAAGTTACAAATTTGAAGTAAAAAGATGACAATATGTAAAATATATTATACCTTGCAATTGATTATCAGCAGTTTGGGAAAATTACAGTTCAGTATATACAAGATCAACAGTTTAATTTATCAGGTGGACTCTCTCTACAACGGTTTTTTTTTCTGCATAGCAATGTGTTATTTGGTTTCTTATGGTTCTCTTCCCACTCCCCAGCAATTTAAAGGCGGCGGTTCTCCATACATAAAAAAATGCTGGTCCCTTTATTGGATTTTGCTGTAGAGATAGATTTCATTTGTATGTATATACTTGGGAACAGATTTTTGACATGGCAGCTCCATAGTTTCCTTTTTTAAAGAATATGAGGTGATCTCTCAAGATTTAAGACAGAACAGCTTAAATGCAGTAATTTGGTGTCCCTTCCATGCTGGGAGAGCATAAAGATGAAACCTCATTTTTTTCATGTATGTAACAGGTCTTCTAAGATGTAGTATCCCAATTTAATAATGAAAGGCCTTAAACTTTTTACTGAGGTAGGTTTTGCCCTAAGAGTTTTGGGATGGATTGCTGGGTTACTTGATGCAGAAGTTTTAATTGCATTGCTGGTTTTGAGGGCAATGGCAGGGATCACCTCAAAATTTGAATTAGGGAGACTCTTTGATGGCTGAGGTAAGTTCAACTTTACAACAATACGAGGGTTCTTACAAAAGATATCAGAGTAGCAATGAAAATGGCATACAATTGAGCTGAAAAAAAATTTTTCTCTAGCAAAAACATATTCTTTGGCGCACAAAAAAAATCAGCCCAGTTTGACAATTTTTTTTAATTTTTTGCAAAATTCATCTGTATAGAGTTTTGCTCTCCATTCAAAAAATGAGGCGCCCTTTTTTGAATGAAGAGCAAAACTCTATATGAATGAATTTTGCAAAAAATTAAAAAAAAATTGTCAAACCGGGCTGATTTTTTTTTTGTGCCAAAGAATATGTTTTCGCTAGAGAATAAATTTTTTTCATCTCAATTGTATGCCATTTTCATTGCTACTCCAAGAACTTTTGTTAGAACCCTCGTATATATTTCAACTACTCCAATTACACAATTTTCTTTTCTGCCGTACTGATTTTTCAGCATCCATGCCTGCTTGGATTTACAGCCTTGGACCACAGATTTCCGACGAAGAACATTTCAAGATACCCTATGGAAACGTAGCTTCTTCCACATGAGCCTTTTTCATACTTTACGCGGCCACATTCGGGGTTTATGCCAATTGGTATGCCGTCGATTTGGTCACTTGGCAAGTAAGAAAATTATCTTCTGTTTTCATCAAATAAAAATGTGATTCAATTTTTTCTAAAAATCAATTGACAGACGTACTCTTCAGCTGGTGCTTCTAACTTTTGTTTCCATATTTTCGTATCCTAAGGCGGAATTATTATATTAAAGAGAACAGTTTCACTTATATATGCGAAAGAAAGCCGAATTAATTTTGCCAGTGACTCAGAGTCCTTTTCTTATTGACACACGTCATTCAACGTCATTAATACAAATCTTTTGTATAAATGCAGCGTTGCTTTCACTTGAAAATAAAATAATTCCTGAAGAAAATAAAATGGAAAATTTATAGGAAATTTTTCAAGTCTCATTAAAATATAGAGCTAAAGAAAAATTAAATTTTTCAAATTTTTAGGGTATAGTATACTTCTTACATCAGGTAAGGAAATGCATAATACTGTTCATGATGTATAAGTTTCTATGCTGATCACTGAGGAATTCAATTTTTTCAAAAACCCATTTTTTCAATTATACCAACTAATTTATTTTTCATGTGTTTAATGATGGATTCAAATGATTCATAATGCATGCTAATGTTTCCTAATTTATTCAAATGATTCATAATTCATCCAAGTGATTCATTATTCAAGTGATACAGAATTCTTTCAAGTGATTCTCAAATGAATCCACAATAATTAATCTAAATGATTTATAAACTATGTAAAGGTGTTAATGTAAATTATTTATAAACTATATAAAGTTATTAAATATTTACTAAATATATGATATATTTCGTTAATTAGTTTTACTTAGTACATGAAATGCAGCGTTTGTCATTAAGTAGGTTTAATCGGTATATGTCGGTACGTTCACTAAGTCAAAAAAGATCACTATATTTATTCCTTCCAAGTGGGGAGCTATTTTTGCTGTGACCCCACAGTCGGTGCACACCAGGGTCACAACTGGAGCATATGGGATATTCTGGGGGTACAAGTGTGCACTCCTGTAGAGGAAATTTTGCGACCATTCCAGGGTTACACTTTGTGCACAAATGTGAAATAACAGGAGCATCACACAAATGCACCAATTGTAACCTTGGTGTAACTTATTTGTTTACAAATGTGACCCTGAGTAATCCTGGTGTGAAAACACAATTGGTGCACATTGAGGATATGCATGTGCAACAGAAGAACTTTGGTACACTTCAGGTGCACAGCATCACTGTGTAGAATTACAAACAAATCCCTATAGTGTGCACCAATTTTCTCACTCAGGTTCTTATTGTCTCATATAGGTTGTGATGGCGCCTCTGCTAGTACTAACTACTACTATGGTCTGATGCATGTACTGTATATGTTTAATGATATGTCTTGTTTGAGGCATAAGAGTTTCATAATTCATCCAAGTGATTCATAATTTATTCAAGTGATTCATAATTTATTCAAGTGATCCATAATTTATTCAAGTGCTGATTCATAATTTATTCAAGTGATTCATAATTTATTCAAGTGATTCATAATTTATTCAAGTGATTCATAATTTATTCAAGTGATTCATAATTTATTCAAGTGATTCATAATTTATTCAAGTGATTCATTTTTTAATACTAATAATTTATGTCTTCTTGTATATTACAGGCTGTGATGGCGCCACTGGTACTAATATGGTCTGGTTACTTGTTTGGGGCACTGGTGGCAAAATTTATCATGAGATTCTCAGTTGAAGATACAATTGCTGTGGCTCTGGAAACCGGCGTCCAAAATACTGGTGTTGCACTTGTTGTGCTGGAGTTCTCTGTTGGACAGCCGCGACCGCTGATCTCAGTTTCGGTTAGATACTTATTTGGAATTTTGAGAAATTACATCAGCTTTTAGATTATGAATTTTTTACGTACCAATATATATATTTTTTATTTATTTATTTGCAGTGGTGGTATTCCTGGCATCACTCGTCATGCCAATTCCACCGATAGTCACTTACATTGTTCGCAGGCTGCTTTTCAAGAAGCAAGCAGAATACGAGGACCCTAGTGAAGTTAATTGATCATGGTCTTTCGTCATTGATGGCCGAAATTGATCGGCCCAATTGGTTGTGAATAAAAACTTTGATGCAACGCAAGAGATTTATTATACAGCTCAGCATTTTTTCCAGTTTTCGGTGAAATCCCTGTGAAATATATTCTCTGGTACATTTTCTGCTGTGCATTGAATTCTGGAGATCGTAATTCGTTATTTTGGTTGGCTCTATATTTTTGAAATGTTCGTTTTCGAAATTCAGCAGACACGATGCAGCAGCGTAAATAAAAATTTGAATCACTGTGCATTCCATTATTGTAAAAAGACAAAAACGCATAAAACAGCAAGGTTGCTAAAAGGATCGAATTCGCAAATGGAATAAATTTCCGCGACAACTTTACTGTATTTGAAATGCGCATGTTAAGCGGTATACAGTATACTGTACTGTATATAGAAACAGGACTTTCTATAATGCAATCCAAAAGACACGCATTTAGAATATATATCAATTGTAATCTGTTCTTCAATCATAAGTCGAAACGAACCCTGCACCGAATCAATAAGACGCGTATGCGGATCTTTGGAGCTAATCATTGCTAAAAATCAGCAATGCACAGAACAATAAAAATCTTCTCCAACGTACAGTTCATTTTTATTTTTTGAAATATTCAAAAATGCATATATACAGTACAGTATATATAGTCAACTTCAAGCCAAAAAAAAATTTACTAAATCTTTCAAGAATTCGGCTTTTATATGATCACAGCTGGGATCATGATTGATTCCCATGATCATAATGTAAAGAAGCAGCAGCAGCAGTTATTCCAGCATGCAAAAGACAATGGACTACATCAGTGTTGGTGAAACTTGCCGCTTTCCAACTTGCCGCACACCCAACCTTCTGCAAGCTGTTTAAGTTGCTGCTATCACAACTTGCCTCCATGACAACTTGCTGCAGTGATAAGTCACCTGCACAGTTTGAAGTTGCTGCTGCAACAACTTGCCCCTGTAATTACTTGCTGTTTTTACAACTTGCCACATGAATTGTGGCAAGTTCACTTGCCACTGCATTTTTTTCTTTTTTTGGTTTTTTTTTCTTTGTCTGCAAAAATTACAATATTTATTTTCCTCATTCAGTAAAATATAAATAACCAAGGGAGATGTATGGGTTAGTTGTCTAGACAAAAATCAGCAAAATATTGTACTGTAGTATTTCAAACTAGAGAATTTGTACTGAAAGCTTACTCTACTCAGAGACATGAAAGTACAGTGATACCTCCACATGTGGACACCTCAACCTGCAGACAATTTGACATAGGGACACTTATTTTCTAATAAAAAATCAATAAAATAGGCCTGACATGAGGACACTGACTTAACATAGGGACATTCTGTGACAAAACTGCAAATACATTTCAGGCTAAATTACAAGAAACAAATATATTTCCAGGCTTAAAATGTATGTAAGAAAAGTTTTTGGGCATTTCTCTCACCAATTTACCATCCATTTAGCTAATTTAAAAACTTACCTCCTGCAGAGAGGGACTTTTTTTTAGTTGAATATTATTTTTACAGAGAATGCCAACATTTCTATATGTACTCTGCATTTGTGTCAGAATCCAATGCTCCAAATGTGCATATTGTGTTGAAATATATTGATTGGAAACAGTTTAAATTGGGAGCAAAATTTTATTTTCATGGAATGATGGTGAGTATTTTGCACATAAAACACCAATTAAAAATTATATAATGTGAGTTTAATGTAAAATGAGACTTGACTTAGGGACATTTCAACTTGGGGACACTCTTGATGCACCAATTACGTCCGCATCTTGGGGTCTATACCTACAATACGAACAATACTCATCGGCTTGAAGGAGTTTAGACAATGAATAAAAAGTTCATGCATCACAGTATTCAGTTAGTCTGAACTTCTAGATACATTAGCTTGATTGGTCGAACGCTGATTTTGAAGTTGCCCACTATGTACTGCTCCGCGTTGTGGCGCGAATAATGGATGCTGCCCCTAACCTTTGTCGAAAAGCGCGCGAAACCTCTAATCGTGTGATTCCTGCGTTGGAAGTTACGGAAGTGGGTGATCATCGATTATCTTTCCCTTCAGCTTTTATTGAAGGAATTACGATGCCGCATTGTATCCTGATTATTCTGTGTGATTTTAACCGTCATCTTCTTCTTAGTGCGGAAATCGTGGAGTCATGAGTGGTGTTCGTACAGGTTTTATTATTTAATGTGTAATTTTGTCTTGCAGATACGCTTACTGTTCTTGTGCTTCGCAAAAAAGTTTATCTTCCGGAAAAACTTGCAATGGACGGATTTGACGATCCTGGAGTGTTTTTCTCCGATGTGCTGGGCGAGCAAGAACAAGCGGAGAGTGCTTCAACAGAAACTCTTCAGAAAACAAAGAAGCTCTTTAAAGAATTTCTGCGGAATTTCCATGAGGGAAATGCAGAAGGACACAAGTACAGGTGAATCTACCCATGGAGCATGTCGGAAAGTGCAGGCGTTTAATATTTCTTGAGTACATGTTTGCAGAGAACAACTGTACAGGAATTATCAGCTTGGACAATATTGGATCAAGGTGAACTTGGACGATTTGATGAACTTTGAAGAGGAGCTGTCGGTAAAGATCCAGAAGCACCCTGCACAATATCTCGAACTGTTCGAGGAAGCTGCCACAGAAGTTGCAGACGAAGTTACTCATCCGCGTTCTGAAGATGATGATCCCTTAGTCAAGCCAATTCAAGTACAGATTACATCGTCGAGCATTTCTCAGTCCGTGAGAGACTTGAAATCAGATCAAGTCTCGAAACTTATTAAAATTCCGGGCATAGTGGTTGCTGCGAGTGGTGTGAAATCAAAGGCTACTAAAGTTTCGATTCAATGTCGTGGATGTCGAGACATCGTGCCGGATATTCAAGTCAAAGCTGGAATGGAAGCATTGATTTTACCACGTAAATGCCGAGCGTGAGTATAGTTCTACAACGCTTCAAGTAATCTGAAATTCATTGCGTATCTTCTTCAGTGAGCAACCTGTCACAGGGGGACCCAGTTGCCCGTTAGATCCGTACTTCATCCTGCCCAACAAGTGCAAATGTGTGGATTATCAAATGTTGAAACTTCAAGAAGCTCCTGAATGCGTCCCTTACGGAGAAATGCCTCGTCACTTGCAGCTGTATTGTGACCGAGACTTGTGTGAGCGCGCTGTTCCTGGAAATCGCGTCACAGTCATGGGAATCTATTCAATTCGCAAGGCAAACCAGGTTAAACAAGGAAAGAAAATTGGGGGGAAAAGCGGTGGAGTTGGCATTCGTCCTGCGTATATTCGCATCGTCGGAATGGAGGTTTGTGTCGTGAAAACTGGGAAATTCTCTTGTCTGCGAGCGACTTGGTATAGTTCATTGATTTCCTGATAACAAAGTATTCAGGTTCTTCAGGTGTTGGGTTATTCCATCAATGTGTTGTTCCTTTGAGTAAAGTTCGGCGTTTGTATTCTTGTTCGTTCCTTTTTTGGCGCCACCATTGAAATTAATTTAAGCCTTTTAGGTAGTTTTTTCGATGTCGGCGTTGCTTTTTGGTTGAATAATTGAGGTATTGGTGTATGGCCGGGGTCCTTGGCCCACTTCATGGCTTCATTAGTTATTCAGTAAGATCTCCCTTATGGGGGTTACTTTTCTAGTTTGTCTTGGGTTTAAGGTTGATGTGATGTTTCGATTAGCTGATTTGCCGTTGTTGGTTGAATCATTTGGGCTCCAAGGACCTTATTCGTGCTCCTAAAATTTTATGATTTTGCAGGTCGCCTCGGAAGGGCCCGGAAGATCCGTCGTTTCCATGTCATTCACACGCGAAGAGATAAAGGAATTCGAGCTTGTTGCCAATTCGAACGACTGCTATGAACGAATCGTTAATAGCATTGCTCCCAGTATTTTCGGCTCTGTTGATGTAAAAAAAGCCATCGCGTGCTTGTTGTTCGGGGGTTCTCGGAAGAGGCTCCCGGACGGTTTGTATCGCCGAGGAGACATCAACGTTTTGCTTCTTGGAGACCCTGGAACAGCGAAATCTCAGCTCTTGAAGTTTGTCGAACAAGTTGCCCCAATTGGTGTTTACACCTCAGGGAAAGGGTCGTCTGCTGCTGGTTTGACCGCGGCTGTTGTCCGGGACCCAGTTACCGTAAGTTTTCATTTTTTTAGTTCGGTAGAAAAGGGGTCCATTTAAAATCGGGATTATTAGACTGAAATTTACCCGTAAACGCTCTTTAATGTGAACTACAGTGCGTTACTCTATTCCTCGTATTATTTGTTATTTTTTTACGGCTAGACCAGAGAAACTTGTGGCGCGAATCTAGTCCGGAAATTCTTATTGAAAATTTCGGGCTTAAATCTGGGTGTAAAATCTTAATGCTAGGTTTAATCTTGATTTTTAATAAATAATTGGACATGATTCCAACGAGTAGGCAATCCGTATATGACTCATGTGTTCGGAACTTTTGTGGAATTCGCTGTAAGATGTAACGCAAATTCCTCGTATTCTAAATATCCCTCTTGCGTTTGTTTTGTCTTGCAGAGAAATTTCGTTATGGAAGGTGGAGCTATGGTCCTCGGAGATGGCGGTGTGGTTTGCATTGATGAATTTGACAAAATGCGAGAAGATGATCGTGTGGCGATTCACGAAGCCATGGAGCAGCAGACGATTTCAATTGCAAAAGCCGGAATCACAACTACACTGAATTCACGTTGCTCTGTGTTGGCTGCAGCCAACTCCGTTTTCGGACGTTGGGACGACACGAAAGGAGATGAAAACATCGATTTCATGCCTACGATTTTATCTCGTTTTGATATGATCTTCTTGGTGAAAGATGATCATTCGGCTGAAAAAGATAAGGTGGGGATCGGAACAATCTTCGCGTCGTCATGTTGGATCGATGAAGTTCACGCTTCTCAGATGACTGTTTTTTTTTTTGTCAGAATTGGGGATGATGAGTATCTTAATTTTCAGAGAATGGCAAAACACGTGATGAATATACACATGAACGCTGCTCAAATGGATAATACGGTCGAAGGTGAACTGACGCTGAGTTTCTTGAAGAAGTACATCGCTTATTGCAGATCGTGAGTGTTTTCTCTGGTGTCAATTCCATTTTAACTCTGACGGAAAACCAATTTCTCAAGATTTTCATAGATCGACCAGGTTGTCGATGACATTTTTATATGCTTACAAATACAATTTGTACATGTTACCATACGGGTTAGTCCGAAAACATGTAACGATTCCACTGATAATTGAGCATGTCATTCAATCAATGGACATTTTTCATTTGCCCGGGTTCATTTACGGTAATTATGGTATTGAAGTGAAAATATCAGAAATAATGTTGCAGCTTTTTCTCTGAACGAAAGCTTTTCCTATCCAAATAGATCGCTAGGGTTTACTTCATTGAAACTACAATTGGAAGGCGTCTTGCGTTTTGGTTTATTTATCGTTGCAGTTTGTCTTCCGTGGAGATCTTGTATTCTTCATTGTTTGATTTTGTTGCAATCTTTACGACGTTTCGTGGTCTATTTGTAAGCGCAGGAAGAACACATTTTTTATCATAAACTTCGAAGTTTTATCGGTGAACAGATTTTGATGATTCTTCGAATCTATGGCGTCTTATATTGGCGTGAATGCGGCACCAATGGAATGGTATTATTGTGATAGCTTTGGTTAACGGAGGGAAAGAGCTTGCGGTAAAATCTTCGGAATTTGCCTGTTATCCTTGAATCAACGGGAACCTCTTGTTTCTTGTAGGCACTGTTTCCCTCGATTGAGTCAACCGGCTGCGGAAAAGCTGAAAAACCGCTACGTTTTGATGCGGTCTGGAAACCGTGAAAACGAGCGTTTAGCGGATAAGCATCTCGCTATCCCCATCACTGTTCGTCAATTGGAAGCCATCATTAGGATGAGCGAGTCGCTTGCCAGAATGCAACTACATAGCGAGGCGACGGAAGTGCATGTGGAAGAAGCACTGCGGTTGTTCCAGGTGTCGACGCTCGAAGCTGCCAATTCTGGAAGTCTAGCTGGTGTGGAGGGCTTCACTTCAGATGCTGATCACGAAATGCTGACGAGGGTTGAGCTTCAGTTGAAGCGTCGTTTCCCTGTCGGGGCGCAGATATCTGAACATGCTATCGTTCAAGACTTCTTGAAGCAGGTGAGCAATTTTGTTTATGTGCTGTAAAAATGAGTTTTACTGCAGTCGTAATGAAATTGGCACAAGATTTCGAACATCCGAATGATGCGAATGCCTTTTGTTGTACAGTACCGGTGCCTCCTTGAGTAAGAAACGTTCCCCAATTTTTAAACCTAGAATTTTGAAGAAATTCTATCCCCAAGTAAGATATGTAACAAATTTTGAGTGATAAAAAAATCTGAAATCCTTTATTTAGCAAATAAGATGAACCAGAATCAAAATTTGTACAGTATCTGAATATAATTAATTTTCAATTTTTTGATAGAAAGAAGTTCCTGTCAAAATGTTTCCATTACTGTATGTTGAGGTTTGATGCTCACCTAAACTTTCAACAGTTTTTCAAAAATGTATCCCTGCCTAAGACATAAACCCCCTTTTTTTTAAATCTCAATTTTGAAAAAAATGAGCGCGTGTTACTTGAGTAATATGCTACAGTATATGCAGATGCATTAAAGAAAAATTCAGGAATGGTATTACTCTTTATACTCGAAAACGTAATATTAATGACTTTTCCACAAAAAAATTTAGTGTAGTTACATTCCAACGATTACAATAATCAATTGCTTCATATGAAATATTTCTGCCATTTTTTTCATTTATGTGTAGTCCAGAATAAAAAAAAAACCTATTCTGCGGTGGACATGAACAATAAGAGTACTGTACTCTTCTTGAATAAAACAGACCACCTTTTCCTGAAAAGTTCACTGAGGAATGTTCCGTGTATCGTCCAAGTATGTCCTCTGATTTTTACATTTGGAAGAGGCCACTATTCTTTGATAGATTGTATAGATTTAGAACGCGGCAAACTGCTAGGAATGAAACGGAAATGACGGTTGTTGATTACCTTATTTGAGAAGATCCCTTTTTCAAATTTAATGATTCAAGAAGTCCCCTTTTCGAATTGAATGATTTGAGAAGACCCCTTTTTTGAATTGAGTGATTGAAGATGACCACTTTTAAGCATTGAATGATCTAGTCTGAATGATATTTGGATAGTGTTGAATATCTTGATGAATGAAGCAAATACTGTGGACCTGGGTACTGGACTAATGGGATAGACAAATATTGTAAAAGAAATAAACCATTATGTCGCTTAGTTTGCGTGTCTGTCATTAGATCTTTTTTTTTTTCTTGGGTTTGACAACTACGAAAAAGTTCCAGGAGGAACCCAACATGATGAATAATGTGAAATTTCAATTAGTTTTCCTAATTTTTCTATTAATTTTTAATTGATGCATCTTGCTCTTTTTTTTACAGAAATACCCGGAGCATGCAGTGTACAAAGTGATCCACTTTATGATCCGACGGGGAGAAATACAGCACCGTTTGCAGAGGAAGATGCTTTTCAGAATGCGATGAAAAACATTCCCAGGAATCAGGAAAAACTACTGAATCATTTTATTTACTTGCGCTAATTGCCAAGCCTGTTTTCAATTTTATAATTTTTCGATTTATTTTTCTGCGGTCTACGGAGAGCGGGTCATCTTTATTTCAAACTTCCATACAGTCAAAGGGCGTGAAAAGTACACTGAAACGTTGAAGCAACCCTGTTGTATTCTTATTTTTTGGTTTTGTTTAAGTAGTAGTTTATTCGATGATATTTCAAACTGATCGTGATTCCTCATTAAAGAGCTCATCGGCAGTTCAGGGCCATTATGTGGCCCAATGGTTTGGGCGTGTGTTGCAATGATCAGCGAAGGAGGAACTTGGGCAAAACCAGGGGAAGTCATTTTGCAAGAACATTCCTTTTGGACGGAGCTTCCTTGCCTTCAAATTACAGTACTGTACTCTTGTTCCAGTTGTCATTCAAGTTCTACTGCGCAAAAATGTTTAGTTTTAACTTGCTCTGTCAGTGTTGCACTGAAAAATAAAATCTGGAATCAGATTTTTTTTCATCCAGTTTAGCATTCGTACGATTGGTAACTGACAGATTCACCTATTATCTATCTGTGGTTCATAGAACGTTGGTTGAATTCACTTATTTGACTTCTGGTGAAAGAATGGAGTATTGTTATTTTAACCAGATTCCTACTTGATTAGTTTGTGACGGTGGATTAATTTATTACTTGATCTTGTTACTGGAGAAGAATGGAATTCTGTCACATGATCACGAATGAAGTTCAAGGATGGGTCGGGCTCGGACAGCTCCTGCATCCTGTGCAGCGTCGTGCAGTGTGCGTGTGCTATGATGATCTTCAATTTCTGAACTTAGCGCCCGAAATGCTCCTTCCTAACAACACGCCCATGATGGTTCAGAAATCAAGGGCAGTTCCATCTTGCGGGCAAGTTGGGCATTACTGGGGAATTAAGGGATCACTTAGGCAGGGAGCGAATGATGTGGATCCCCTTTGAAACGACGTTGAGCTTGTTTGATAACTCCGCGAGGGTCAAGGTGAAGACTGTAAGAAGGGATCTAGATTCCGTGTGAAGCGAGGAATTTATTGAATATTGGTGTGGTGCAGCGCTCGACGGTATCACGGATAGCTTCAATGCGTGTTGGAGGATGCGTTGATAAACAATGGTTTAGTTATTTTTCTACCGAAAACTGTTCATCGAACAGTTTCTGGATTTTCAAAGCATGAAGTGCTTTCGAACACCCCTTGAGTGAATTGATTCCGTGAAGTGTCCCGGAGAGCCGTGTATTTCCTTAGTGTCTCATCTCGTTGACGTGTAGCGTGCCGAACGCGGTGGTTACGATTTTTAGGTAGACGCGTTGCGGTGGTTTTCTTGTTTGCCTTCAAATTTTAATTTTTTCTCACAGTTTATTTTCAGGTTCTCTTCTGGTAGTACGATTGCTCCTCGGAAATGATCGATCCGAGTAGCTCGGAAGAGGACAGTGATGACGATGTCCCGTCAGAAGCGCCGTCCCATCGCGCGTTTGCCAATCGGCATGCTGCCACGAATTTGGGAGTTCCCCCCGGCGGCCCGTTATCCGCACATCATAGGTCAGAATCGCTCGATTCACTACATTACATAGTTTGACATAGTTTACAGAGTAATTTCGAAGTTGCTCTGTATTTTAATAGGGCGGTTTCACCAGCGAGTACGACATCCTTTGAAACAACAGCTGCAAATGGTAGCGCGGGAATGGCGTCCCTTGCACCTCCAGGTCCAGCAGTGGTACAAGGCGCATCAACCACGGGACCCCCGGGGATTGCAGCCAATGCTAAGCCTGTGACTCCCGTTCAACGAGCGATGTCTCCCTCACCTTCGCTTGCGTCTGACAAAGGACCCATTGAGGATCCCCAGGTATTGGTCGACGAAGTCGTGTTCTATCGCGTTTTGTGATCCTCCATTGAGCATTTCTATTTTATTCTTTTTTGTCTGATTGCCAGGAGCGTCAAGAGAAAGAAGAGGAAGAACGGAAGATGCGATTGCAACTTTATGTTCTCGTTTGTCGATGCTGTGCCTATCCGTTCAACGCAAAGCAACCGGTAGACATGACCAAACGGCAGCCGAAAGTTACTTCTTCTCAGCTAGATACCATTCAGATGAAGTTTCAGGTTTGACGAAATCTTTATTGCTTCGCGTAACACTACTGACACTGATGATTCGCAGAGTTTTATGAAAGGCGAGACGCAAATTGCGTCGGATGAGGCCTTCCAGAATGCGATTCAGAGTTACTTTGAAGTGTTCGTCAAGTCCGATAGGGTAGCAAAAATGGTGCAAGTGGGTGCTTTTTCCAGCGTTGACTTCCGCGAAGTGTTCCGCCATAATGTTGAGAAAAGAGTCCGATCACTTCCGGAGATTGACGGTGTAAGCAAGGAGACCGTTCTTGCTTCTTGGCTGGCCAAATTTGATGCGATTATGAAAACTGAAGACGATTCCCGCAAAACTAGTCGCCAGCAGAAGGAAGCTCTGAATAGCGAATCAATCATGGCAAAGGAACAATTGTACGATGTTTTCCAGAAGATTTTAGGTGTCAAGCTTTTCGAACACCAACTTCTCTACAACGCCCTTCAGGTTTGATAAATCAGTGGACTCTGGACGTATTTTTGGTACATTCTTGTATTCTTACGGTAGCTGGATAATTCGGACGAGCAAGCTGCTGCCATCCGACGTGAACTAGACGGGCGAATGCAGAAAGTCATGGAAATGGAGCGAGTGAGATTTCTTAGACGCTCTTCTTGCTCGTACAGTACAGTTATTTTAGAAAAAAACGAAGCTTTAGAATTTCAATTTTCGAAGGTTCTCCCGGGGGGTGGATTAGGTACGGTTGAGCTCGTCCGGAAAGTGTGCAACCCCTCCCCCGTTTTAAAGAAAGACGCGAAGAACACCTCAGAAAAATACCGATGTGTCATTGAACGATGCTAAATTATATTTACTTCTAGAGATTCTTAGCTCGACGAATATTTTCAGGTGATCGATCTACCTGACGAAAATCAGTATCAGGTTCTGTTTCGTATTACATGTATTGAAAATTGTTTCTTGCGTCTGTGGGACTCAATTTCCTGAACACGCGTGCTTTTTTAGACTAACTTGGCGTGGTGAAATGTAACTCAATTTTTAGGCGCGTTCTTCAGTGGTTAACTTGAAATAGATTCATCAGTTTTCTCAACTCATTGAAAACCTTTTCATTATCCCAATGCGCAGATGAGCTTTACAAATGGTTGTCCGCATTGACGTAAACCATAAACATTTCGCTGTTGCATAAACGATTTTTCTCTTTCTTTTAGAATCGGAAGTTGATGCCTAGATTCATTGTAAAGGAGATGGAATCCTTATACATTGAAGACTGCAAGGGCGCCATTAACACCTTGATGGCAAACCTGGAATCATTGCCTGTTACGAAAGGTTCCACTGAATCCAAACCGTTCAAGCCCTTCAAACGTGGGCACCAGAAGTGAGTTCTCTCTAAAAGCTTCTTCGTTTGAGACTTACTCTCAAAGCGATGAGATTTGAAAAATGTTGAATGATTGCAAGATTTGAAGAGAAGGTGCTCAAAGTGGAAATGTATGAATCGAAATGCTTGGCCGTGTTCCTCTGGCAGTTGAATAAAGCCCAAAAGCCTCTTTTTGAAATTTTAAAAATCTTCCTCTTATCACGCAATACTCATTTTTCGTTTTTTACCCACGCATGAAATGCATTAGGGATTGCATTTTATAAATGCTGGGGTTTTGAGGATTTTTGTAAGATTTTGTTGCATCCGTTCAGATGTGCATCGAAAAACTTGTATGTTGACTAAGATTTTGTCTTTGCTAAGGGTCGTGTGAAATTCTAAAGATACTGTACAATTATTCATCAGACGTCCGAAGGCGTCCACAATAACGGAGTGCACTAGTTTTCGCGATAGATTGCAAGTCTGGTTTCTCTGTTAATTCGCAACATTTTGTGAATGCTATTGCTTTTGATGTGCCGAAACAGATTCCCGATGAGTCAAAGTCTTTAACTCCCATTTCCTTCTGTTATTGAGAATAATATGTGTGCCTTTGTCGCTCCCACGTGCTGCTGGCTGCTCAATCGGAGGCGGCGATCCACTATAAGGCAGGTGTTCGATCGCAACTTCGTGTGAACCCTCAATTGCACCAAGCTTTAGTGATTCTTTTGTTCTCTCGCCCTCACCAATTTTCTGTTCGATGTGCTATTATTACCGTTTGACAGCATGCTTTTAAACGTTTATCTTTCGCGAGTGCAACTGTTCTAGCTCTTCCGGTGCTTGCTCTTGTACGAATTTTATTACGGGCTGTACAAACATTCTCAAATTTTTAAAAGTTGCTTTTTTCACGTTGATAGAAACCAGCCGTCGATTACTTCTGGACTGGGTGGCGATTCCTGTGATGCTGAAGTGCAGTTGTGTAAGGCAGACGTTGTTCTATCCTTCACTCTTGAGGTTAGCAACGTTTTTTTATATGCCTGTATTTATAGCTCTGGAATCGCTGTGACATATCTGAAATTGTTTCAGGTTACTGTTTTGGAAGTGAAAGGCTTGAAAAGTCTCGCGGCCAATCGAGTCGTTTACTGCACGATGGAAGTTGAAGGAGGCGAAAAACTGCAGACGGATCAGGCGGAAGCCGGTCGTCCGATGTGAGTTCCCCATCTTCAAAAATCATCCCTTGATATTTTTTAGTAATTTTTGGCTGGGATTTTGAATTGAATTTTTAGGTGGGATACTCAGGGGGACTTCACAACTACGCATCCACTTCCCGCAGTGAAAATTAAATTGTACACGGAAAATGCCCGTATGTTGGCTCTGGAAGACAAGGAATTGGGGAAAGTTGTCCTTCGCCCGACACCTTACTCCACAAAGGTGCAGTATTTCTATTGCTGTTCTCTCGAGCTAAGTTAAAGAATTCTTCAGTTTTGACTTATGGCTTGACAAAATATCTTCGCCACTCCTCGCAAGTACGCTAAAAGCTGTGGAAATTTCATCGTGATTTTTACAGTTTTCATGCTCAGCGAGCACTGGAGTGAAATGAATCGTCTTTAATGACAGAAGCACAGAATCATGAAAAATTGTTGTCATCGTCTTGCGTAACCTTTCCTTTCGCGAACGCAAAATAGCAGTACTGTACTCAATAAATTGTGATATCTTGCTGTATTATGATTTTAATTTACGTAGAGGATATTTTAAGACACTGATAAATTCAAGGCTGTAGTAATACTGATGATTAAACAATCCCGTTTTGTTCTGTTGACTGAAAATATATATACGTTCCTCTTAAAGTGAAGATACTCTTCAGTTCAACCGCCATAACTCGAACCGTTCTAAGACGAATACTTTCCTACATCAATTTTTTTCTAGTCCCTGTCTTGATGCCCTTTGAATCAATGCATCAAAAACTCCCTAAGGTTTTCCCATCAGACCCCCATGACTAGAATTTTGAAAGCCTTTTGGCTATTATTTCATTGACAAAGGGGAGAGAGGAAAGTGATAAAAATGTGACGATGTGTTTTGAGAGGAAGTGAAAGATTAATCTGACAAATGAACTCTTGTCCCGAGTTCAGCATTCTGTCAGCTCATTTAAGAACCAATCTGTGTCCTAGAATATCACCAATTAAAATTTCCTGTAATTCTTTCTTTCCTGCAACAAAAATTCTCGTTTCCTAACTCGAACCTTTCTAACTCGACCTTCTTTCTGGCCCATTAAAGTTCGACTTCAGAGATTTGACTATAATATTTCGACTGCCTACATAATGTGAAGCAACATTCGGTGATGGTATTCAGGGAATTCAACAATTTTTGTCATCGTAGGCTTCCGAGTGGTACAAGATGACCGTGTCGAAGAGTGCAGCCGACCAGGACTTGCGGATTAAAGTCGCTTGTCGGATGGACCGTCCGCTGAATCTGAAACACAGCGGCTGGCTGTTCGCTTACGGGAAAGGCGTGTGGAAGAAGTGGAAGAAACGTTATTTTGCCCTCATTCAAGTCTCCCAGTATACTTTTGCCATGTGTTCGTATCACGAGAAGAAGAGCGAGCCGACCGAAATGATGCAGCTTGACGGGTACACCGTCGACTACATGGAGCGTGAAAGCGGTAAGCATCGCTGGGTTCTGGGCTGGTCCTACTTGATTTACTGAGCGTGTGAATGTTTTGGTGTGCTCTCTTCTTTTTTCTTGCTACTGCAGCTCATATTATGGTTGGAATGGGTGAGTTTTCTCTATTGGCCGTTTTTTATGTTGTTGGAAGGAAGGTTTTACCTTGAAAGTTCGTGACAAGAGGACATTTATTTTTTCATCATTGATAAGGCTAGGATAAAGACTGTCGCAAATGAAGTACAGCACAAGAAAAAGTTACGTAAAGTTTGTTCAAACACTTTTTTGTGTCCACGTATAGATTCACAAAATTGTTCGCTTTTCTCCGCTTTTCATCTCTTCATTTCGCTGAGGTTATTGAGATCGATGATGTTAACTATCCGGTTTCTCCCTGTTCAGACCTGGAAGGCGGACAGTATTTTTTTCACGCGCTGAAGGAAGGCGATTCCGTTCTGTTTGCTTGTGACGATGAGAATGAATCGCACCTGTGGGTCATGGCATTGTATCGGGCGACTGGTCAGAGCCATAAACCGAGCCCGCCAACTCCGGCGGCGTCGAAAAGCACTGCTATCTCCAAAATTCAAGGAGGTACGGCACGCAAAATTCCGACTCTCTGATTCACAAACACCAACAAAGTCTGCCAGTCAACTTCAAATTCTTTTTTTTCACTTATTTAGTTAATGTTCATCATTTTTGTGTAAAGCAATGCTTCTTCACGAAAATACTGCGTAAACCACAGTCGAACTTCAAGGGACCTGGGGGAAGCACAAAGAATTACAGGATATTGTAATCAGTGATTTTCTGGGCCTTGAATTGCATGTTGATTAAGTTGACGGTCTTTCGCTTCCTTTCAAATTACATACTGTATAGTTACATTTGTATTGCTTTTCTCTTTCCTGTGTCAACAAGAAAACAAGCGAAAAGACCGCCAGAAAATTCAAGTTATGGAGATTGGAAGGGAAAGCTTTTCAATTATGGAGGTTTTTATTGCATTCATTCTAAGAGAATTCTGACAGGAACTTGAAAACAATTCTACATTTGGAGGTTTTTGATCTAGGGAGGTTTGAGTTGTGGAGGTTCAACTGTATTTTATTTCTTAAGAGTTTAATATGAGTCTCTTCGTCTTGCAAAAAGTTTTGATGACAATAATTCCAAGTCGCGTGCAGTCTTGTGTGCGTCGCACTTCCCGTCGGTTGAAGGCTTGGCCTAGAAAAGTAACGCATCTCGCTTGTTTCAGTTAAACGTATAAAATGTATGATGTGTCTCTTTTACTCTGCTCTCTGAAACTGTCTCATGTTGATAGCCATTCTTTTGTCGTGTCGGACAGCCTCGGCATCCTGAGAAGGATGCCAAGACTTCGCGATCTTATCACTTGCTTTTTGTATCGTATTTTCCCCCCGCGGCATCCTTTTGGCAAAGTTCCCAAAGGCATGAGACCGACGTCCTAGTTTCCCTCAACACTCCTGCTTGGAATCCTCAATATTTTCCATTTTCTTGAAATTTGAATAGAATTGTCCGTCGCGATGAAATTTAATCGAATGAGGAAAAAGTATACCATATTGAATGAAAAAAATGTACACTTTCAAATTTCGAAAGATTAGTGGTAACTCTTGAGTTTTAGAGAAACATTTTAATACCGCTCTATTTTGTGTATAGGGCGGGCCAAAAATAAGAAAAAATGATATACTGTAGTATACTCTGTTTTGAAATAAAATATATTTATCCTAAAATAAAAAAGGATCTTTGAAAATTTCTCTCAAGTAAATCAAGCCTTAAAAACTATGTTATACAGTCATGGGACTTTAAAAAATTTATTCGAAAGAAGAATGTCTCCTCTTATGTACTACTCTTCAATCTCACAGTATTTCAGTTTCCTGTGTTAGTTTGAATCAGGATTTAATTGTACCTCCAGTTATAGAAATACTATACATCCAAGTAATTTTATAGCAAGTATGATAATTCATGTAGATTTTGAAAATGAAATCCTCTCATCTTGTAAAGAGGGATTTTTCCCCGCTCCGTATACCTCATGCAATATGCTGTACAGATGGACTCTCTACAACGGAATATGGAATACAGAAACATTTGTTAAGAGAATTTCGTTGTAGAGAACCCACACAATATGGGTAGAGACCCCTGGCCGATGGAATCAGAAGGAATTTCGTTATTCAGAGAAAATCCTTTTAACAGTGTTGGGCGAGCCTGTCTGTATTGGGCTTTATGGGCATTCGGTTCAATGTTGAAATTCTCCCGCAATTTCGTAGATGCTGATCGAGCGAGGAAGCACGGAATGGAGGAGTTCATTTCGGCAGACCCGTGTAAAATGAGCCACCACGCTCTGTTCCAAATCCTGCAAATGAAAGCGCTGGTGTATCGTCTCAACGATCCCTTCTGCTCACTCGGCTGGTTCAGCCCTGGCCAAGTGTTCGTGCTGGAGGAATACTGCGCACGATACGGAGTGCGCGGCTGCTTTCGACACTTGTGCTACCTTCAAGACCTGCTCGATCATGCCGAGAAAGGAATGATGATCGACCCTCAACTCATCCATTACTCTTACGCCTTCTGTGCCTCTCACGTCCACGGCAACATGTAAGCGTTGTTGAGAGGAAGACAAGCATGAGCTCATTACACGCTTTGGATAGTTCAGAAGATTGTACTTGTCGTCGAGAGTCGAACATCCCGAACAAACAAACAAAACAAGAAAAGAATCCCAATGCCTTTTTTCGGAGGTCTGAGTACGTGGAAAGAGGAAATGTGGCCCCCTTGTTCAAGCATCGACGTAATTGGTTTTGCAGTGTTCCATGAGTGTTATTGGTGTTCGGGAATGGAAAGGGGTTTGCAGTCTTGAAGGGTACTTTACCTTTTCTCCACTTCTTTTCGAAGACGTTGAAGGAGTGCCACTTGAGTCCGTGCTCTTTCCGTCGAAATGTATCTGTTAAATAATGAAAAAACTACCTCATTTCCCGTATTCGTTCGTTGGAGATTTCTTGCTAAAGAGGACAAGTTAAATTATTCAAAACATTCGTACGCGCTAAATGCTCTTCTCTGTTCTAATGATTTCCGTCCCGACGGCACCTGTTTTTTTTTTTTTTTTTTCGTTGTGCGTTTTAGTGATACTGTATCTAATTGAACGAACTTTACGTTAAGCCTAATTCATCGGCATCCGAGATGAAGAAAGTTTATTTCACATCATTTTGCGTTTCACAATTGTCGACGAGGAATAGTTGGTCATCTGCAGGAAATCAATGCAGATTTTCATGTATTCTGTAGTAACGAGGGATCAGGATGAATCTCCTTACCTTGATGATTCCAAATAGCTGAACTTGAATTTTTTTATGGAAGTATCCGTTTTGTGTCTTTTAGGCCGGACAAAGTAATGACTGTGACGCACGAGGAACGCGATCGATTCCTTGACGTCAAAGAGCGGCTGCGTATAATGTTGGAACGACAGATCACCAATTTTCGGTATGTGCTCCAATACTATTTTTTTTTTTTTTGCTAGAACTGCGCATGAATTCTTGGGGTTTCCGGAGCGAGTGATGGAAATAATGCACTCCCGAAACGAAGGGTTGAAGCTTGTTTTTTGTGGTGTAGGCTACAATTCCATGTGTGATCAGTTTGTTCCTTTCCTCGTAAAAGCGTCAGGAGTAATTTTTTGATTTTTTTTCTCTGTGTGAGCAAAACGCGTACAACACGCACATGACGCAACGATCGGAAGATGATGTTCTAGGAAACGTTTTGGTTAAAAAAATTTCCATTTATTGATTTTTTGTCCTGCGGAAACCACCAAACCACTGTGCCGAGGCTTCCAGAAAAATTTTCAAGAATTACAATGGTTCATGAAATTTAGAAAAAAAGAAGCGAAAGCAGATTCAGTTGACCTTTGCGCGTGGAAATTAAACTAGGATATCTAGAACTTTGTGAGATTTCACTCATGATAATTTTTGAAATTCCTGTCTTAAAATTCGAGTGAGCGCCGAGAAGAAATAATGAGACATTCGTGACATATGTTATGCAGTACTGTTATGATTATTTCGGACATTTCGTGTTTTAGTTCATTGATTTCTGCAAATAAGATTGATGTAAAAATATTCGTAGGTTCATTTTGCCTACATTTTTAAAGACGAAGCCTAGCATCATTACTTGAATCTGGTGCGCACAGTATTTTAATACTGTACTGATTCCCTCTTCTAGCGTTGAAACATTTAGTATCCTTATTTTTCAAAGAAGTCCACATTTGAGGATAATTTTCTTTGTGTTAAAGTCGATTACATTATCAGTTCAGGCTCTGTGTAGTTATTTTGGTTACATGGATGAATGTGGCGGCATGTTAGATTTCGATAAGTAATGTTGGGCGGTCAAATGAAAAGAACTAAATGTGTTCTAGTTTCTATTGATAATCAAGTGGAATAACCCTGATGCTTCGCTTCGTTTAAAAGGGAACTAATTTTGCTTTTCATTGGTTGCGTGGTGTGAATTTTGCTCGGGATGATGACTTAGTCGCGAACACATTTCCTACTAACCACTAGACTCAATGGGATCCTACAGGTATTGCTTTCCTTTCGGGAGGCCAGAAGGTGCCTTGAAGGCTACTCTGTCCCTTCTGGAACGGGTGAGACTAAATCGTCTTCTTTAGCTGCTTGTGTGCATGGGTTTGTCGCATTGTTTATTTTCTTAAAATTACATCGTTTCCCTCGGCTGCGTTAGTAAGACGAAAATCTGATTTTCATTCGGAATGAATGTCAACTTCCGTTTGCCATTGATTGATTTCTGTGTAAAATGAACTTGAACTATATTCACCCTTTTTGTTCTTTCGTGTTCGTCCAAAAACTTAATGCCATATTCAGTTCTGTTTTTTGAAGATTCACTTCTTACTTGTTCCCGTCCGAAAACGCTTTTTTAGACGTGTGGTATCTGTATTTATTCACTGCGAATTCCTTTTCGTATCTGCGGGCGTTTTATTCTAAAGGCACGAACTTCTCAGCTACATGATAATTTTTGGGCACCTGTAATTTTCCCCTTATCTGTTGAAGCTTCATTCGTACGTTCCAGGTACATGTACACTGTAAAGTGCAAAATTTGCTCGAATATTCATTTTGCTTTTCTGTGCATTACATTTTTACTTCGCCGATTGCTTTTCTCGCGTGTTGAACCAAGAAAAGCTTGGTTCATTGCTCTGTGTTGATGTTGACGAAAAGGGTATTCATGATTATAAAATTGAATTATTTTATGATTTTAGGTGCTTATGAAAGATATTGCGACTCCCGCACCACAGGAAGAGGTGCGAGCAGTGATAAAGAAATGCTTGGAAAGTGCTGCTTTGGTCAACTACACCAAATTGTCGGAGGAGGCGAAAATCGAAGGTCAGTTTTTGATATCGGCGAGTGTCTTTCTGTGGATGAAACGTCGAACTGTGCTGTTTCTTTACGTTGAAAACCCTGCTATGCAATTCCCCTGACCCCAACTGCTTGCTGGTCTTTGGTGTTATAATGGGTGTTGTGTGAAAAAGAGTGGACGAAAGCTGTCCTACGCTACACTCAAGGACCGAAGAAAGGTATGGAGACTTAGCACGGAGTTTTGGAGTACAGTATTATCTAGTCGAGATCCTAGGCATATGGGAAGAATGACAGCTGAGATAAGTTGTAGGCAACATGAGTTTTTCATAGCCTCGTGTCGAAGTAGTCGTCGATTATTTTATTTCTGCCAAATCATGATTTATTTTTTTGCGATCTAATCGTTTCCTTGCGCTTGTGCCTTAACGCTGCGTTTCGGCTTTGAAGGTGGCGATACCACCGTTCAAGGTGAGTCTGATGTTCAATCATGCAGAGTTTACTTCGAAATCGAGAACATGCGAGGATCAGGTTTTGACTCCAAGTATTCACTGGATTTGTAATTTGTATTTGCAGAAGATTTCAGCGGAGATATTCAAGTTTCGCCGGCGAAAAAGCTGGATGATTTGATACATCTCGCAGAGCTCTGCGTTGTGCTGCTGCAGCACAATGATGAATATTACGCTGAGGTGAGTTTTTGCATACGAAATATAGTTAGTGGTGTCGATGTATGGGCCCCCAAGCTTCGTGGACGGCTTGGGCATGTGCTGTACGTTGTCAGTGTGGTGTTGTTTGGCGAGCAGAGCTGAAACAATAAAAAATAACACTGCTGCGCTAATGATTTATTTCAACTGATTGTACGGTTCATGTGATGCTTTCGTCGTGTATGACGTTGCTTCGGGTCACGCCTACGCTTTCCTTGACGGATTAAATTATTGTACAGTGGGACCTTGAGCAAAAACCCTGATCTTTTCCAGCTGCCAGTTTGTTGCTTATGGCGTTTGTTCACTGAGTCAAAATTTCCCGGAGTTTACATTGGGAAATAAATTTACTGGTTCGAGTACGAAATTATATTCAGATTAAGTGAGAGAAATGTGCAGAAAAAAAGGATTAAACGAAAAGAAAATGAGACGGTTATACTTTTAAGTTGCAAATGATCGGCAGCAGCAAATTGCAAGCACAAACGGAAATCAAGTTTACTCAAAATGTAAATTTCCCGCTTTGTTTCCCTCGGCATTCCCCTTTTCAATTATTCTGGAATATATTGTCTTCAAAAATCAAATTTGTATATTTATATGATTTTGTGACTTCCAGCTTTTGTTACCGTTCCTTGATTTATATCAGCTAGTCAAGGTTGTTGCTTGAGGCAAAATGGTTGCCAAATTTGTGTTTTTTATTTAATGTAAGAAACTTACTGCGTACTTGAATTTTTCATAGCTCAAGGCCCAACTGTGTATGAAATCGCAAATGGCTGAATCGCACAATTTAAAAGTCTTCTGATTGCGTCTCTTGATATTCCGCTATTTTTTATGCTTCCGGATTTTTGGGAACAGGCAGACGTTACAGAGAATATTTCTAAGATAATAAAAAAAAATACTTTACATTAATGGGCATGAAATAATATCTCTTACGAGTACATGCCTATGTCTTTTCCCGGTGAATGCACCATCACCACTGATCTCAAAATTTTCCGAGTTCCCCTCTCACAAGAACTTCTGATAATGTGACGAAATACAGTTCAAACAATACGAGACGATTAAGAATACCAAGCCTTTAATGTTCATGGCGTTTATTTTGTGAAAAATGATCATTACATGGTTGGCATTTGTGTCGATCACTGTGAATCAGTTCACCTTGAAGGGTGAATTTTCGCAAGATTATGCCTACGAAACGAGAGGGTCCTACAAGTTTTTTTGCGATGAGGGAAGTCCTAATTTCGTTTTACAAATTATAACGCAGTTTCTCCTTTTAAAAAATGGCGGAATTTTTCCAAAGGAGGAAATCTCTCACCGCTCAAAAACTTTTTTTTGGACCCCATATAAAAAGTGAATGTGTAAACACATCCAACATGATAAGATGTTTGATCAGCCGGATCTTCGCTGCAAGAAACATTGGGAAGTTGCCTCTGTGTTTGCCCCATAAATTATGTTCAAGTTCTATTACTCTTTTTTTAACCTACACAACGAGCGAACGACCACGCTAAAGACACTACTACGCCACAGACAAAGAGAGGATATTATAGACACGAACAGGCGGACCCAAACACAAGCCACAACACACTTGACTGGGGCGCCTTCAACCTTCCCTGTCGGGCTGAAAAAAAAACAGGAAAAAGTAAGTGGGCGATTCTCGGTGCGGATTATTCCTTTACCACATATCTATAAGTTGCGAAGAACAATATTGCATGGCTTGCTTGTTGATAGCACCTTGCGCATTTGCTGCAATGCTTTTTCCTTTCGCCATTTTATGTAATGTGCTGGTTTTTAAATGACTGTCACTGCTTGATAATTTTTGTATTACTTTTGCTTCAAAAACGGTTTCTGGTATCTGTTTTATTTTAGTCCTTCGCCTGGTTCAGCGATTTGCTCGTGGAACACTCGGAGATTTTCTGGTCTCTGTTCGGCGTTGACATGGACCAAGTTCTGAGTGAACAGCCACCGGATACGTGGGATTCCTTTCCCTTGTTTCAAATTCTCAACGACTATCTTCGCGGCGACGGTGAGTGTTATTGTCAAGTGTTCTTGCGATTTTATGATCATTTTCTGGAAAACCACGATTGAAAGCGACGAAAAATGAACTGCAAAGGATTAGGCATTGCAAGAGGTTTTAAGAATTATCTCTGCAATTGGAAAGTTAGCATTTCATTTCTAATTTTGTACGCAACGCTTGCGGAAGTGCGTCGAAATTTGTGCTAAACGAACCGCAAGGCTTCGATCAACAGCGCTTGAATTTGAATCTACTGAGAAGAAGCGAAATAGACCATATTTATATCTTTATTGATGAGTATTGTCTCTTTTTCCCCTCAACGGTTGGGATTTATGCCTTTCGAGATCTGCAGAGATTTCCGTAATATTATTTTAGAACTAAAAAACTACAGTCCGAATATTCAAATTTACACGGTACAGTACTGTAGTTGAAAAATGTATTGCTGAAAGCATTAAAATTTAAAATTTAAAAATCCAAAATATATTTTTACGTCATTCTATGCAAATCCCAGCCAGAGTCATAAATTTATGATTCCCCTCTTCACGCGAGCATAAAATGACTAGCAGAAAATGAAACGGGGGATGACTGAGTGTGTGAAATTGGAATCATATTTCAGCTGCCCGTGAAATGAAACAATCCGTCCTAATCATGGATGAAGTTCGCATAATTTTTAGATGGTTTACGAATAGTTTTCATTACTCGCTAGAGTAACTCTTGAAATGAGGGAATGGAAAATAAAACTTGTGATGATCGAGTGTGTGAAATTGAAATCATATTTCAACTGCCCGTGACACGAAACAATCTGTCGTTATCATGGATGAAGTTCGTACAATTTTAAGATGGTTCACGAATAGTTTATAATACTCACTGGTGTAACTCTTCGAACACCTTGAATTGAACGAATCGCTTTACGTTTTGCTAGGCACTTCTGCAATTGATTACTAATCGAGCGTTGTCTTTTTTTTTTAGATAATTTAAGAAATGGCAGATTCCATGCCCATCTTCGCGAAGTATTCGCTCCGCAAGTTATCCGTTACGTTGATCTGATGGAATCATCGATTGCGCAGTCCTTGAACAAGGGCTTCGAGAAAGAAAAGTGGGACCTGAAAGGGTGAGTAAACAACGACGGCATGAACCCGTCGGAGTAATGCGTCAAAATTTGAGCATTGACAGCATAATCGAAAGTCATGATTGCTGAGATTAAAATCAGACCCGTTACTGACAGTTCCTCTGCTTTTCTTTTCCACCCGTGGGGCTCCTTGGCTGCTGACTGATGTGGTTTTTTTCCCATTCTGATTTTCTCTTGACCCGGCTGGCGGCTGACGTTGGTGTGGTTTTTTGATTTTCTGCGAACGTTTGTTTCTTCCTTGTGATAACCCTGCCTGATCGCAACGCTGCTGACTGCTTTAAAAAAATCTACGCAACTTTAAAACCGTTTCGTTTGGTCGGTGTGAGTATCCGATGATGACCCCGGCTTCTTTGCATGCACTTACCATTGCAACCACCGCTTATCAAATCTTGATGACGTGAAATGAATATTCGCAGTAATATTACAATACTGTAGTTTGTAAATTAGTTGTTTTATACGTGCTGTGTAGTTTCGTTGTTCGTGTTATGCATGGAGATAGATTCTGCAGTTTCGTGCTGCGTCATCAGGACTTCCGTTAAAACTACCATTGCTGATTTTTGTATGTTCTGATCATCGGTCAGTCGAGCGTGTCTCAAAAACAGCTCGTGCCAAAAATAAATAGAATTAGAGGATATTGCTTATGCTGAACATGTGTTCGGTTCCGGATTATGATTCAATTTTTGGTTTTCGAAGCCCTTCTAAGCTATTTTTGAACGAGGTATCAATATAAACGGAGTGAATGAAAGAGCAAACATTGTGGATAATTTATCGTCTGATATCGGTAATACTGTATCACTAATGAACTACTCTATACTGTATTTGTATGCCGTTTCGAACTTCAATTTCGATTATTTAAACAATTATTTGTTTTATATTCTGGAGACACGCTCCGTTTTCCAACACACTCAACTGTCCCGCATCAGTGTTTTTGATTCGTGAATCCGAATGTTTTGTCAAGTATGTTTTTTCGTTTATTGTCTTGTGAGTGAATCAAGTACTTTGAGGTCCAGATCTTCGTTCATTTGGGTTCTCTTGATCAAGTTTCAGTTCTGCACTCTTTTTTACTGTACAATATCAAGTTATTTTCTGTGAATCTCTCGAGTTATTTGTGGATATTCTTGCTTCGTGTCACCTGTAATTGTGTTTCCGTGAGTTTGCTGTCGAGTATTTGTACACGGTCGTGTCTAGCGAAGGTAAAAGTATCGCACCTGTGGTCGAGTTCCGAGTCACACCGTCTGTCGATAGGATTATACAGTTTAAGGTTTTTTTTTCGTAAACGCTGATCATGATTTGCGTAATTTCCCCTGGGGAGCAGGAATGGATGCCCTACCAGTGAGGACCTTTTCTGGAAATTGGAAGCGCTGCAGTCATTCATTCGAGACCTGAACTGGCCTGACCCGGAGTTCGCGCGACATTTGGATTCGCGTCTTAAGGGAATGGCTGCCAACATGATCGAATCTTGTGTTCAGAGGTTTGAATTGAAAATTTCCGCTGTTCCTTTTTCATTTATTTTGCGTTTCAAGTTATTCACGTGCATCCGGAAGCGTTTTTATCGCATGTTGAAGCGGAAGCCAACATGAAATCCGGAATTGGATTGATTGAGAAAAAAGACTGATTGATGAAGGATGTCAGATTTCAAGGAAAGTCCGATCTAAAGGGCTAAATGATAAGCATCGAAAGCTGTAAAAGATTATAACATTTCTTTTTTGTAAGGATGGGTCAATTTTTATGGACCACCCGTGTGGGTTCTTCCTGGTTTGAGAAGTGAAATTTGACGAAGAATGATGTCAGTAACTCAAGTGCAAAACGCACTGCAGAAGTTCGTTGCAATTTTCATGTTCAACCTTTCCAAACGCTAAATTTTCTAACAAAAATACTAAACTCGATCCTTCTCTCCGCTGGTTCTGATTTGGGCTTTTAGCGCAGGATTTCTCAATTATGGTAGAATTATGAACAATTGATTTTTTTTTTTTTGATTCCGCGGGCCAGGAAAGTTCCTCAGGTGCCACCGGTGGTGCACTTACCACCGATTAAGAAAGTCCTGCTCTTAACATTGTTGTAATGTTGACGACTGAAGGATCCGGAAGAACAGTACATACGAATTTTGGTCCCGTTTCTCTATCCTCACTGTACGTGGAAGATAAATCAATTTTGACGTCACCAACGAGATTGAACTGTTGGGATTGGATTAATTGTGTCTTTCAGATTTTTTCAATTTATGATGAAAAGCCACAAGCAAAAGACAAAAACACAGGGGAAGTATTGAGCGCTTTGTTAATGAATAATTGCTCCAAAATGTATCTATGGTTTGTAAAATGTTGGCCTTTATAATGAATGAATCAGAACGGATTCTTCTTGTCAATTTTCAATTTGTTGGTTCTTTTCTTTTCAGGACGGAGAACGCATTTTCACAGTGGATCAAAAAGGGTGTGACGTTCAACTCGACCGACTACATCATTCCACAAGAAATGTGTGCCATGGTGAACGTTATCCTGGACGCGAAGAATCAAGCTTTCAAGCTGTGTGCTATGGATGGGGTGAGTCAAATTAATGAGCCGGATTACGTTTGATTGATTGTCTCATCGAAGATCTGTTCGTGGGTATTGAACAAATCAATGAAGGTTGGCGCCGCTGTGTGGTTAAATGATTATCTCAATTTTGCTATATTGAAACCTGAGAGCAAAGTTGAATCCTAAATCAGAAATAATAATCAGCTAAGATTCCTGGTGCAGATTCGTTTCATGAAATATATTTTTCATATTCAAAATCCCAATTTTTTGTCACTTCTTTATTCGCAAACAATTGAAAGATACAATATTTTTAATGCCGATATTTTTTTTTTCTCGGGCGTTTGGCTGGTTCAGGTTCATTAACTACTTCCATTGAACATTTTCACTTGACATCGACGTTTTCTTTTATTCTATGTGGTTGGCTTTCATGACTTTCTCATTCATGCTCCTAATTTATGAATGATGTAGTACTGTATCAAAAATTAGGGATAAATTTATCTAATTTAGTCGTGGAGTGTGTTCTCGTTCATGATGCTGTCACGGTTTTCAGCAAACTTTTCACAACAAGATGGATGGTGTTATTGAATCCGCCTTGATCTCAGTCACCGAACAACTTTCAGCCAAATTCCTCTCAGTGCTCGAAAATACTCTCGCGAAACTTGGCCGATACGACGAGGGATCCTTCATCGGCTCCATTCTTTCCTTCACCGTGAGTCTCGCGTTCACATCTGTTCTTCATATTTTTACTTTTCGTGTACGGGTAATTTTTTTCGCTGAACGTTCGGAATGATTCAATCGTGATCTAATTGCATTATTGACTTGTTGGTTTAATGCAGTGTTTCCCAAACTTTTTGGGTCCATGGACCGGCAAATTTCCGTAATTTTTTTGTGGACTGGCGAAGTACCATAACATTTTTGTAGACCAGCAGACAGTTTTTAGAGACCTGTCATGAAGTCCTCCAAACAAAACTTCGATTGCTAAAATTAAATTAAGAACCATTGAAACAGCCATAGTGGAAGGTTTTAAAAAAATAGAAAACTGGGTTTCAAGGAAGGTTTCTCAGAACGAATGCTTCACTGTGCTTGAAAATAATTTATTTCAGCGGGTGAACATTTCTTTAAGTGATTGAAGAAGAGCCAACTTTTATTTTTCTTGAGATAATGTCAACTGCCATTGTTGTTCCGAAATGTTGTATAAAGATAACAGACTTCACTACTACCTTTGATGGATGTATTATGCTCAAAAAACTTCCCTTGGATTGTGCAAAAGACTTCTGCGAACCAGGCGTTGCAGACCACTGGTTTAATGTACAGTATAAGTGCAGTTGTCGAAGTCGATGATCCCGTGTGATGAAACCAGAATTCGAAATATTGCGAAACGGCTTGAAAAGTTGAAGTTGATCTCAACCTCTGATGATTGCTTTCGCAGTATCGACAAAACGTGAGCGGCAGCGGTAAGGAAAGCGGCCAAGCGTACATCAACTTTGCGCGAAATCAGATGGATCAGATGCGATCGAAAATCACTGATGAACTCTGGATCCTCAATTTCTCGGAGGTTTGAACCATGTCTAATCCTTACCCTATTCGTACGTGGGCTAATTTCATGGTTATTCGTTCTTCCCAGAACTGGTATCTGCAGCAAGTCGACATGCTGAACACGTGGTTATCGGAGAGATTGGACCATTCGCTGCATCCGTACCAGTGTATGTGCTTGGCAGTTATTGTCAAGGTGAGTCGAAATTCTTGAGGACATTCAAAGAATACATTTTATTCGTGATAAAATATGTTTGGTGTGTTGTGAGGATTTTCATTTCGACCAATGAATCTCTATTTAGGTTGCTAAAGATGCTTAAAAAGACTCGGCTTTCCAAAAAATGCTCAAGTAGAAAGAATCGCATACAAACCGCAGTACTGTATCTCAAAAATGAGTCCTGAAAAGATGAATTTGGAACTAGAAAAATTCAATTTCACAAGCGTTTAAAATATTTACATATGATACATACAAATACAGTACTGAACTGAGCGTAATTTTTATTTTCATTTGAAATATATGAGCAAAAAATTTGAAATTATGGTACTGTATTTTGAAAATTTATTCTTGAATAAATAAGACCAAAGCGGAAGGATTTTGAATTGTCCGAATCTGAGACGCACGGGTTAATTTTTTTTAATGAAATATTCAAATTTAAACGAAGTGGCATGATTTGCATGCGTGACGAAGTGATTTTCAAAGTTACTGTACCTCGTGTCTGAAATGTGGACGAAGCATGTTCTGATCCTTATGTACAGTAGATCCCCCTTCGCGTGTGGAATTCTATGTAATCGGATGTGCCCACATTTATTGCAGAAAATGTACACTGACTTCGAGCTACAAGGTGTGATGGAGGACAAACTGAATACACCCACGTACAAAACAATTGCATCTCGAATGCAAACGGAGGAAGCCACGTGCGCTCTGACTGAAGGCAGTCGGAAGGACGACGAAGGAGAGGAGTGAGTAAAAATATCTGCCATTTTCGCTGACCTTCCGTGTGTATCTTGGACGGATTTAAATTATATTTGCTCCGTCAAGTGATGTTACTTTTACTTGGCGAATCCTTTAAAGTTTCGATGATGAAGTTTGCCTGCCAAGCATTCACGAGTCAAATTTGAGTTCGCATTCGGCTAGAACAGTTTCTATGAAAGATACTACAGGACTTGAAAAAATCTTATTGAAAGAAAGGCGTTAGAAGATCTTTTTGTAATATTTTGCTGAATTGAGGTTATCTTTGAGTGTTCGCAACTATTTCAAAGAACTTTGAATCCCGTTTTATACAACCATAGTGGGTGTGGAAAGTTTGGAAAATTTTCGTTGTACAGTTGAGCCTTTTTTATAGGTGAAATACTGTACCTCCCCAAGTCTATATTTTTTATTACCTCTCTGAATTCCCTCAGAAACAAAGCGTTAACCTCCCTAACTTGAAGGCTTCTCCCTCAAACCTCCATAACTGAATTTATGGAGACCTTTTGGCTATTTTATGGACACCGGAAAGAGAAAAAGAATGAAAATGTAAATTGGTGAGCCTTGAAAGGAAGGGAATACAAAATTGGCCAGATGAAACCTTACCTCGAAGTTCCGCATCCTGTCAACTCATTTAAGAAGCAATTTAAGACCTAGAATCTCGCAGATTACGATTTCCTGCTTTTTCTTGCTTTCTCCGTGGGAAAAATGCTTTTTTCCAGATTTCCATCGCTCAAAAAATTTTTTATGGTCCCTTTGAAGTTCGTGTTAAAGAGGTTCAACTGTATATATTGCTTACCGTACTTGAGGAGGTATAATATATTTCGCCGTAAGTAGTTTGGTCTTTTTAAACCCTTTTTTCGCGGTACTGTATTTTCTTGGATGCCCTTGTGTGTTGTTTAGTTTTGAAGGCGAATCAAAGTCTCTATTTATTGTGCATTCTGAAGAATTAATCTTGTTGAAAAATATTATCAAAAAGGCTAGCTTCCTCAAAAATTACATATACCGATGCTTCGTCGTGAAGGGAAGTCTGAACATCAGTATTTGTTTCTGAATTGAATTTCCAGAGGTTTCAACGACCTGGTCGACGACGAAGATGAAGACGGAGCTGCGGCGGCGGCCAAGCGTCGCGGAACTTCCGCCGGACCTATGAAGGTGAACCTGAAGGAAACCCTGAGCGAGATGCAGTCGGGGGATGTTGTTGGCAAGATTGGGAATGTTGCACAGAACGTTACTAAGGGACTGGGCAAGTCCATCGGCGGGTTTGCCAGCAAACTCGGAGGCGGTGGCTGGTTCTAAATAGATTTTTGTGTGTATTTCTCCTGCGTGAACCTCCGATTCCGATTATTTCAGAATTGACTTTCATTTCGTTCTATAATTGCCAATGATCACCGAGATATTCTTTCGGTGGGTTTCGCATTGATAATGGATCGGTGTTCTTGGAGAATGAAAGAGGGTTGAGTTCGGAGCTGGATTTCGTGGTCCAGGTTCCAGCTTCGGACTTTTCCGATGTTGAGCCATTTTCTAATATTTTTCCAGTCTTACGTATGTTATTTATGGCCAACTTTCGTCGCTGTTCATGAGACTGATTGAGTTCAATTAGTTTTTGTGGGGAATCAATTGCAAGAACGAAGAAAAAGCTTTGTTCGGTTTTATTTGAGTAAAAACATCTAGTCAGGTTTCATTGTAGTGCCTGTAACGTGTGTCTTTCAGACGTCAGGCCTGTGAATATTGCATTTGCTCGTTTCCCAAGAATTAACAGCACAATCTGTCGATCTGAATAGCGATTGAGAGTTGATTTTTTCATTACCTGACAACAGTTTTTATGAATCGGAGGCCGTTTCATTTCTCAAGTCGTTCCTCGCGATATTTTTTTTTCATGTGTGAACGAAGTACCGATCCTTGCATGATGAGCGAACAGAAGTCGTTTTTACGGACTTTATTATGTGATCGCTTGCGTCGATTTGATATACTAAGAAGTTGTTTCTCGCATTTCAAGGAAAAAAAAGTGGAAAGGAGAAAATTGTAAAAGTTTTTCCTGCTTTTTCTTTTGTGAGTGTTATTGCCGTCGCACTCGTTGTTGAAGGAGCATTCTCCGGCGTTTTTTCTTGCGGAACATTTTCGAAAAATTCCGCGTAACTTCCTGGATCTTGCTTGGGTTCGTTCCGTGTCCAGTCCGGCTTGCGTGTGTGGATTATTCGATTGTTGAGAAGGGTTCTCAGCATTTGAGGGAGTGTTACGGGCTTGCTTACGCCATGGGTGATGAATTTAGAGGAAATGGGATATTTGCATAGGTTTTTTTGTTCTCGGTTCTTTTCTGATTCACGTCCGCTATTTGTCTTTGCCATTCTGCCTCATGCCGATGGGTTGAATTATAAGGGCATCCGTTGAATTGCCCGTCTGGACTTTTCCTCATTTTGACGAGCTTTCAGGTTTTTGCATGTTTTTTTTATTATGATCAATTTTTGCAGCAAAAAGAAAGGTGATGGTAATTCATTTTCCAGGTTTGCGACCTCTTTTGCATGCAGAGCTCTTCTGGAAATCGATTTCTATGTCGGAGCCTCTGAAGCAAATTTCTTCTGGATACTTTTGTTTATTGAGTTACAGGAACAGTCGTAATAGTTTTTTAATGCCATTTTGTTAGGTATTACAGTATGTCCCTTTACGCGCAAAAATTCAATCGATTTTACTTCTTATTCTTGAATTTCATCTCCACTTTCATTTGATTCTCCTGGAGCCCCCTGAGAATTCGAGGTGAAGCTTCAAGGTTTCATCGTGACCAAATGATGAAATCGAGGAAATAATCTAAATTCATGACAAAGGACCTCCATATGGAGTACAGTAACTGTTCCCTTTTGTACGCAATGGCATATATCATGGAGTTCAAAAATAAAATTGAGAAAACAACACATATGGAAATCTATTTTAGTGCCTGTCTGGTACATGTCTTTCTTGTTGTTATATTTTTTCGGGGGAAAGTTAAACCCACAAATTTCAATGTTAAAAATCAATTCCTATGTAGAATTTTTCGTAGTCCCTGCACAATATATTCAGTGTTCAAATTTCTTTATACAGTATATACTTGACTACTAGAGGGAGCTGCAGACAGTAAGAAGCAGGAAAAACAAAATTTGAATTGGGAAAAATGGATCCATACAAAAAATTCACAATTCTTAAAGCTCAGCAACAACAAAAAACTGGGGTTCTTGTCTTACAAGGGGATAGGTTTTCAAACAATTTTTTTTCAGAAAAATGGGGGTGCGCAGCTTACTCAGGGGTGTGTGTTGCACCCTCTTGAAGTCAGCATGAAGTTTGCTGGAGAAATTACTGGCCCTGCAAGGCTGCCTATACCCCATTCATCCCCCCCCCCCCCCAAAAAACAGCTATTTCACGTCAAAAATCGTTCAATTTTTTTGGCCCACCCTGTAAAACTTCGAATTACAGTACATATATACAGTGCTGGATGTGACAGAATTTCTGGGAATATTTTCAAGATTTACACTTGAAAGCTATAAGTCTATCTGACTAAACTCAAACTTGAGTTTTATAAATTTCCGAAACGGAAATACCATGCAGTTCCTGGAACCCCTTCAAAAGTTTTCCTTATTGAATCTTCTATAAAGCTCTTTTAATCCAGGCCATTGATAATGTTGCAATAAGTTGGAGGCCACCCGTTCTGTGTAAAAGGAATGCATATGCATTTGCCCAACTTCCGCGCCCGCAAGGTTTCCATGGAATTGCGAGCAATCCATGTCTCTTCGGGGGGCTCTTGGGAAACATCAGAGAAAGTATTTCATTGCGTCAATAAGAAACATATATAGCGAGTTTGTTGCATTCATTTTGCATAATTGGCCTAGATCGCTGTGACCTGTTTGTGGGCAAATTGCGTTTCTTTCTACACCGTGTGCTGCCTGCGTATAGCGGAGAACCATGTGCATGCAAACCTTTGCATTCTTCTAATTTTGATTTTCCTCTATTTCATGCATTATTTGGCGAATTGAAGAATGAATTGTTCCAATTAATTCAGCAATGTTGAAATGGAGTGCACCAAGGTATTCTGGCTTTGGCTACTGGATTACTATGATATGACGTCAGTCATTTTTTGGGGGATGAAAGCTGATCTATAGTTCCTTGTTGTAAAGCTGCCCTTTTGTTTACAGTCGAATTTCAAGGGACCATTAAAAATTCGAATTAGGGAAACAAGCATTTTTGTTGAGAGAATGAAAGAAATATATACAGCAGTAAATATCAATTTGTAATATTATGTGTCTTGAGTATTGCTTTTGAATAAATGAGTATAGAGAGGATGCTGAACTTTGAGATAAGTGTTCATTTGCCCATCAATCTTTCATATTTCCTTTCCAAGCATATGAATAAATTACATTTGCATTGCTTTTCTCTTTTGCCTGTGTCAATAAATAGCCAAAATTCCTCCTGAAACTTTGAGTTATGGAGTTCTGAGAGGGAAAACATTCAGTAGGTCAAAGGTCCTAATGCTCATCCTAACTCAAATGTTCAAACACTTGGATTTAATGCATTGTTTCTCAGGGAATTCAGACAAGGGACCTGGAAACAAAATTTGACTGACATAGATAGGGTTTGAGTTTTGAGGCTCAACTGTAGTTTATTTTCAGATTTTGACATGGCTTGCTTGAGTTTCTTTGGTAGTTTGCTTGGTATATGCTCATATTAATTCCTATATACAGTACATGGATTCATGTTTGTTGCATCTTTTTGCTAGATGCAATAGCTGTTGGAGAGACCATGCAGTGGTAATTTGGTTAATGAGGTTGCCAATATGCTGCAATGACAACCTCAGTATTCAACTACAGTACCACTGCATGGTCTTAACATTGTTCCCAACCTTTTTGGGCCGTGTGGACTGGCAAATTTCCATAAAAATTTTTTGCAGACCAGCAAATTACCAAAATTTCTGCAGACTGCCAAAGTTTCATAACATTTTTGCAGACTCACAAAAGTTTAGCTTGAAAGACTTCATGGCAGGTATTTAAAAGTTTCTGATTTTTTGAAGAAATATAGTTGAGCACCAAAAAAGCAGCTATATTGCTGAGTGTCATCCAAAATTATGTATAAGGTGCAATTGAAGAAAGGTTTCTCAGAATGAAAAATTAAAATACTGTAATTTATTTCAGCAAGTTAAAATACATCCAAAGTATTATGAGAGAAAAGTCAAATTTATTTTCATCAGGTACCTTATACATAGGCATGCAGACCAGCAATCGTTGAAGGATATACTCGTAAACTGTACTTCGAGCTAATGTATTTAATCGTCCATTTTAGCGAGTTATTTTGCTACGATACCGGATAACTTATTTTCATGAACAGCAGTAACTGAAACTGCAGGTGAGGTTCTGTCATTCTTGGTTTGCTCATCCACTCGGAGAAAGAAATCAAAGAGTGTTATTCCCAGGAATCCCACCATACCCTGAAAGTTTGATGAATATACAGTACAGCACTGTATTACGCTACCCACTATGTGGAATACAGTATTATTTACAGGGTGGGCCAAAAAAGTGAACTGATTTTTGAATTAGGATATCTCAGTTAAAAATTAAGCTACAACAATTAAAAAAACACAAAATGTAACCTTATTCAATTGTCTTTCAGCAAATGGGTTGTTTACAGTCTTAAGTGTCATCGAACAGCTCACAAAAACTGCTTGAATGCAAACTTTCAAAAAAAAACAATGTTGTCACTTGACTCCTCCTGGTAAGCTGCCATCTTCAAAACCTCTGAAAAATTACATTAAAATCAGGACAACCCACATCAGAGCACCAGAAACAAAATCCAAGATGAATACACATAGGAAAATAAATAAGCCCATAATACCCAGTCATAGGCAAAAACCAGAAGGAAGCACAAAAATCATCCATGCCCTTGCACACAAGAAACCACCAGACAACCTTGCAATTAGTTCACTGAACATTCATTGGAAGATGAGTCAGAAAAATCACACCTGATGGGTGGACATAGCAATACCTGAAAATTCTGCCATGGTCCAGAGAGAAAAAAATAGTCCACTCCTGTAGTGACTGTCCATACATTTCCTTGGGGACTAAGTTTGGTCCAGAAAATGTCTGGTGTCCATGGGGCGCAGGGGGTAGGTACATTTGCATTGGAGTTTCCCCACACAGCTCTTGATCTCCAGGGCTGTTTTCATCAATAGATGGGGTGCAGAAAGTTAACCAGCAAATCCATGATACCTTCCACAGTGTGCACAAGTTCCCTAAATTCACAAGAAAAGGTAGGAGTGAGAGAAAAAAGTTGAAGAGTGGCATATTTCACTGCTCACAGTGAGGATTTTTGTTTTCTCTCTGGACCATGTTAGGATTTTTAGGTATTGCCATGTCCACCCAAGCATGATTTTTCTGACTCATCTTCCAATAAATTTTCAGTGAGCTGATTGCGGTGTTGTTTGGTGGTGTGATTTCCTGTGTCCTGGGTTCTTGTGTGCATAGGCATGGATGATATTTGCATTCCCTATAATGGTGGATTTTGCCTATGTCTGGGTTTTTATGGGCTCATTTATTTTCCTGTCTGTATTTATCTTGTATTTTGTTTCTGGTGCTCTGATGTGGGTTGTCATAATTTTAGGGTAATCTTTCAGAGGTTTTTGAGACAGCAGCTTACCAGGAAGAGTCAAGTAACAACATTTTTTGGAAAGTTTTCATTAAAAAAGTTTTGTGACTGTTTGATGACTCGTAGGACTGCAAAGCAAAAAACCCATCTGAAAGATAATTGAATAAGGTTACATTTGGTGTTTGTTTCATTTTTGTAGCTTACTTTTTAACAGAGATATCCTAATTAAAAAATCGGCTCACTTTTTTTGGCCCACCCTGTATGTACCGCACTGTATTTCATTTGGTGTCTTTTCATCCCGCTGCGTATATACTAGGAATTGTGAGGCATCACAAAGTTATTTATGTCCATTCGTCGCCTTTAATCAAGAGGAATATGGCTTCATTGGCCTACTTTTAGCAGTGTGCAGACATGCAGCAGAAACGTTGCCAAGCGCAATTCCGAACTATGATGACGTATATGCGGGTTGTCCCAGTTGGACGTGACCTGGGATATTTTTAGAGCATGTGTGATGGTAAAAAAAGAGTTCTTTCGTTTTTTGACCATCAATTTAGAAAATTAATGGATACAACCATTAAACATAATTTTTTATAGCTAGCCTGACAAATTTCTATAGCCCCCTGAAGTGACATGGATGCTGGAGAACTCTGGCGACATGTACCTGAAAAATGTTCACTGATCATCCTGCAGTGAATTTAAAATGTTCTTTGAAAAAAAAAAATCGCAGGACCTTCCTTAGAGCGGATTTTTTTTTCAATCCAACCTACCCTAAAAATATCAATGGTTATGTCAAAATGGGATAACCCTGGTATGATGAATGTGAATCAAATGATTTGCCCAATTTTTTCCTGGCTGTTCCATTGTTTTTGTCCTTTTCAAGTATAAAATACTTTAAAATTTTTCAGCAAAAAATGAATTAGGTTCAATTTATCAAAATCAGCCATGGTAGAAATAAAAGACTTTGTTTGTAAATCCTTTGGAAGTGTTGAGGTAATTGTAATCACAATTTTTCTTTTTACAAGATATGTTTTCTGATGGTTATTCATGTGGGAATTGCTGTTGTTGGGAAAGATTGAAAAATTGCTGGAAATTTTAATGGTGACATTATGGGCCTTAAATTGCTTCTTAAATGAGTTGACAGCATGGATGCTAAACTTGGATGCAAGGGTTTATTTGCCCAATGAGACTTTTAATTCCTTTCAGAATCCATCAAGAGGTACTGTACTTTTTTAGAATTAATTTTCTATTGTCTGTGTTAAGAATATAGTCAAAAGGCTTTAGAAAATTTGAGTTAAATATGTTAGAGAGGAAGATCATTTGAGTTAAAGAGATCCTCAATGCACTGTTTCTCAGGGGATTCAGGCAATGGGGACTTGAAGAAAAATTTGACCTAGAGATAATTGAGTTATTGAGGTTCAAATGTATACACTTCATTATAGAAAGGAATCCTCCGGAAAAGGGAAGTAACACAAAAGGAAAATTTTCCTCTTGATTTCATTAGAGAGACTTTTTGGAAATTACAACAGGTTGTGCATTACAGTACAATCTTTTCTATAGAACCATTTTACAGTATTTATTACCCATTTCTGATGAAATTTCAGTCTGAATGCGTTGAAATCCTTGCATCTTCATTCAACCAATAATTCGTTATAACAAAATTTTGATCAGGTCCCCACAGGAAGTTGTTGTTACAAGATTCTATTTTAAATACAGTTGTTTTGTCATCAAGGGTCTTATGTACTGTAGTGTGGAATTACAACGGGTTGTGAATTATAGCAGTATCTTTTCTAGAAACATTTTACAGTATTTATCCTTGCATCTTAATACAACAAATAATTCGTTATAACAACATTTTGATCAGGTCCCCACATATCTTTGTTGTCACAAGATTATATTGCAAATACTGTACAGTTGTTTTGTCATCACGGGTCTTAAGTAGTGCGGAATTACAATGGGTTGTGCATTACAGCATTATCTTTTCTTGAAGCATTTTATAGTATTCATTATCCATTTCTGATGAAATTCCAGTCTAAATGTGTTGAAATCCTTGCATCTTATAATTCTGTGAACAAATAATTTGTTATAACAAAATTTCCATCAGGTCCCCATTTTACAGTATTTATCAGTCATTTCTGATGAAATTCCAGTCTAAATGTGTTGAAATCCTTGCATCTTAATAGAACAAATAATTCTTCATAACAAAATGTCCATCAGGTCCCCTCAGGACTTTTTACAATATTCTAATCTAAATACAGTTTATTTTTTTCAGCAAGGGTCTTATTCTTGGAAATCAAAATGGGTTGTGCATTACAGCAGTATTTTTTCTAGAAGCATTTTATAGTATTTATTATCAATTTCTGATGAAATTCCTGTCTAAATGTGTTGAAATCCTTGCATCTTAATTCAACAAATAATTCTTCATAACAAAATTTCCATCAGGTCCATCAATTTCAAACAGGACTTTGTTCTTACAATATTCTATTGTAAATACAGTTTCTTTTTTTCATCAAGGGTCTTATATGCAGTGTGGCATTGCTGGCGCATGCCTGCAAGTTTTGAAAGACCGCAGCAGCAGCAGCACCATCACCAGCACCAGAGGGTGCCTGCCTGATGAAACGTATGCTTGTGATGTGGCCAGTAGCTGATGGGGTTTATGGGTCGTGGACCATGCGCCATATACCGTTCGCGGGGCGTTGTGGTGCCCCCACAGTTGGGAGTCGGTAATGTGGAGAGCGACACACAGCTCCGGCCTGCATATATACAGTATGCTCCCTTCGTCAGGCATGCATGGTGGAGATTCTCACTGTATCTATACTGTACACAGTATATACGTGTACCAGCGTGAGTTCTGACAACAGCTGTTGTTGCTCCTATTCTTTCATTGCTGCTTGTCGTATTTCGTATGCAGTATAATCGAGTGACATATGTGTGTACAGTATATACTGTTCTGTATATATATTTTTTAAAGTTAATTCATATTTTCCCTACGTTTTCTATCGTTATATCGGAAATAAATGAAAGTGGCATTGCTGACCTATACTAAACGTATAAATCTGTGATTCATTTCGGGCCTCGGGAGTGCTCGGAATTTTGCGGGATGATAATGGAGAAATTATTGCTGATCTGCGCGGCTTTACTTTTAGGTGAGTTTTTTCCTATATCGAATACTCTTGAACTCTTGAAGTCGAATTTTAAAAGGGGACCAGCAGAAAAAGAGTCGAGTCAGGGAAAAAAGAATTCGAGGAAATTTTAATGGAGATATTTCGGGCTTTAAATCGCATCTTGGAATGAAAAAAAAGGATCCGAAGCAGATCATCATTAGCCTGACTTGAGGGAGAACATATGTTATACTGTACTGTATTTCCTCCAGTGAGTACAGTAGAACTTTTCAAGAGACCAGCAAAAAAAATTGAGTTGGGAAAATATTGGAAAAAACATTTTTGTTGGATGAAAAGCAAAAAGAATATTACAGGAAATTTTAGTGTGCGAAATTCTAAGCCTTAAATTGCTTCTCAAAAATACTTTGACCGGATTCTGAACTTGCAGGCAAGGGTTCATATTTGACCAATCATTTTTTCACTTCCTTTCAAAACACATGGATTCATTTTTAATGATTTTCTCGGTCTTGTGCCAATATGATAAATCCAAAAGGCCTGTAGAAAATTCAAGTTACTGAGGGGGATAAGGGTTTGAGTCAGGGAGATTTTTATGCATTTTTCCATGGGAATTAAGACAGGGAATTCAAAAAACCTACATGGGGAGGTATTCGACTTATTGGGATAGGTTCGAATTATCATAATTAATAAGTTCAGCTGTGTATTGTATTGCGGAATTCATTCCTATGTGAGTCTTGTTTTCATCTGCTGTCCACAAACTGCTTGCATATTGGATATTGTTGTGCTTCATTCGATTAAAATATCGTAATATGTAATGTAAAATTTTACAGGAAATGAATTTCCGCGAGTCATTCACGAAAATTTCAAACAAACCACTTGTGAACCAATTCTTCTTTTTTTCATAAAATGCCAGCTCAACAGTTTGACTACATTTCAAAGCTTATTTTATTGGTTAACTCATTGAGCTGTGGTCTTTTACTCTATATCGATCACTTCAACTCTGATAAGATGTATACAGTACTTCAAGGGATGAATTCTAAATATAAGTAATTCAACTTTAAATTTTGCAGTTCTCAACGGCCGGGTGTTGACTCCAGCAGAAGGAGTGGAAGACGAAGATGCAAAAATCTCCGCGAAACGGGAAGCAACAATGAGCAACATTAAAGGTTTGCGAATTTCAACGGAAATCGGACTTATAATATACGCCTAAATTATTTCAGCTTGGCTTATTGAAAAAAAAGTAATGCCTGTACATAGAAATGCGCAGTTCGAGTTCCATAAAATGAAAAAAGCATTGGAAACCCCAATAAAAAGACATGTACAAAAATGATTGATTACTCAAATATGCTCCTGCCAATTAAAATTTGTCTTCAATCGCCCACCAACAAGATTCAAGTTTCATATGATAGCAAGGTCTCCAATAAAAATGCAAACACCAAAATTACATGATTTACTTCTCAGGAACATTTGCTAGATATAATTTGCACAAACCCAGGGTTATAATTTTATTAATAAAAATTGTATTTGCCATCATACTAGACTTGATTTTCATGTTACTTCACCTTATTTTCTGATTAACCACAACCCCCTTTTAATCCCCAGAATGTTCCCATTGAACTGCCAAAAACCTCACTAGCAAATGGTGACAGCTTGGTTTTTGAGGTTTAACTGATGATGTACAGTGGAACCCTGACATACAGACACCCTGACACATAGAAAAATTGACTTAGGGAAATTTAGAGCTGAAAAGATTACCCCCAACATCTGGACAGTGACTTGAGATGCAGACACTTCTCCAACATTTCTGGAAAAACATTTCTAAATTTTCATACTTCTTGAAGAAATTGAGCTATACCCTGTACAGCACATTTACAAATGTTTAAAACAAATTCCATTTATAAAATTACCCTAATCAATAACCAGAAACAGGCCAATTTTGTACTGTTTTTCACAGTTGTTTCCATCATGTGTGCACACTACTGCTGTATAGCACAACTTGTTTTTGTTCTTTGCATCTTATTGTTGTGCATCTTTTGATGCCAAAAGATTAGATTCTGTGCGGTTTTCTTCTTCTTATACATTTATTTTCTGTACTTTGAAGTTAAGAAAAAATTATACATGTACAGTGAGACCCCCACATGCAGACACCTCAACTTGGGGACAATTTGACTTGAGGACATTTATTTTTCAATAAAAAATCACAAAAAAGGCCCAACATAAAGACATTGACTCAACGTGAGGACATTGCATGATAAAATTGCAAATAAATATTAAGAAAATTGACTTTTATTAAGCTTAATTGCAAGAAACAGATATTTCCAACCTTAAGATTTATGCAAGAAAAATTCTTCGGTACTTTTCGATCACTTTCCCATACATTCAGCTAATGTAAAAATTACCTATACCCCAGAGACCTTCTCAATTTGTGACTTGGATGTTATTTTTACAGATGCCAATATTTCAATGAACTGTACAGCAGTATATATTCAATGCTCCAAATGTTCTTATTGGGTTGAAAATATATTCAGTGAATCAAATTCAAGTAGCAAACACATTTTTTTCATGGAATCCTGAAGAATATTTCTTCCATAAAACACCAATTAAAAAGTATGTACTGTAATTCTATGGGAAAACAAGACCTGGCTTAGGGACAATTCAACTTAGGGACACTCTTGATGCACCAATTACGTCCGCATCTAGGGGTCCCACTGTATTCCATTTTTGGGATTATTTTCCCAATTTTTCATGAACAGGTGTACCAATTAAAATACGTTCCCATTGAAATCTCATCTGGGGAAAAAGGAGATCCAACATGCGCCCAGACATTATTTTTTTAAAGGAACAAAAATCCCAAAATCATTGAATCGAAAACGCATTTCGAATACATTATTGCAATACTGCGCCTCTATAAGTTCAACCGTGAATAACTCGAACCTTTCCAAGTCGAATACCCCGGTAAGTCGAATTTTTTTGCTGGTCCCTATTGAAATTCGACTTCGAGAGGTTCAACAAACTGGATATGTCCCTCCTCTGAATATTCAAATCCGGAATGAAATTCATTCTGCAGCAGGTCCCGGGAATGAAATGCGAGTCCCGCCGACGAAAATCGCTCCTCCTTCGGGAACCCGAGCCGTGTTTGATTCTGAAGGTTATCCATGTGTATTGGCTGAAGCCCGAGCCACTTTCCTGATTACTTTTCCTGCGAAACTGGGCAAAAAGGGGACGAAGCGAGGGACCAAGGTATGATGATGAACGGCTCTGTGATAGTCACAGAGCTGTGCAAATTTCTTGCTAGACTTAAGGCAAATGGCTTTCTGTGTTTGTTTTTTTCAAGTACACTTGTGGGTCACGTATTTGGCCAGTAAGTCTTGTGATGGAGATACGAGGGTTGTCCCAGATTGATGCGGCCCATGATATTTTAAGAATAGGTGTGAAAAAATCATGTATAGCCCATAATGTTGTAAGGTTCTGGGATTTTTTTGGAAAGTATTTTTTTCCAATTTAAGGTATATAATGAGGATAAGTTGAAATTTTCCAGTTGAAGCCAGAGTTCTCCACCCATGACACAGGGCCGGAAAAATTTTCAGGCCAGCTTACAAAATTAAAAAAAAGTCATTCACAGTGCCTATTACAATAATATCTTCTCTAAAATTGTTGTTCAAGAAAATATTAACTTTTTTTCGCTAGCCGGACAAACTTTTGACATTGAATATCAGGGCATCAATGTATATCATTTTTCTTATCTTCTAGAAGTGAATAATGTAGAATGGGAATTATATTATGTGCATCAGAGTATACAATATTGATAAATAACAGCACTTCTTTCTTTCATTATGGGAGTGCCCCTGACCTCAATCTTCCATTACTGCATTTTTAATTTCTGAATTTGTTCCGATCTTCTCAAAACTTGATGCAAATTTTCAAGCTCAACAGCGGATAGTTAATTTTTCTTCGATTATTGCAGACGGTTTCTGTGGCAATTCCTGAGGATGACGGAAAAGCAGTGAAAACATCTGGAATATGCGATTCACGGAGTTCGTTGGCGAACATCACGTACACCTGGGGAAAGGACGATCATTTTCAATTTACTGTCACATTTGAGAAGGTTGGAAATTCCCCATCTTTAAACTATCACTCAAAAGTCAAAATGCATTCCTCTAAAATCTAATTATTTTAATATAAATTACTGTTTTTGAATTTATTTGATGCTACGTAGATTCCAAGACGCGTTCTATATTTTTCCGACCTTCGAACCATTTTGGTGGCAAATTTAAATAGAAATGTACGTATTGCCTCTACTTTAAAATTATGATACGTTCTCAAAAAATTTCTGAACGAAGCTGATTTTGAAAAAAAAAAAATTTTTATGTCAACAAATTTAAAGACACTTTCCAGCAATAATTTCATCACAGTATTAATGATCTTAAAAATACAACTCCGGGTAGGAAAATATTGTCACATGCTTTCTTAAATTTGCACTTCGAATTAATAATTTGCGTGCTCCAGTTGAAATCAAGTCTCCATTTGAAAGTGGATTTGTACAGTATATTATTTATAAGTATGTACAGCATTTTTGGAGTGATCAGTAAATTTTATTTTACTTTGTAGCGTGGAAATCATTCGCTTTTATCAAGACTATATTGCTTCTAATATGCGCCTTGATTATTTTCAATCTAAATTCTTTGGAAGGTTCTTATTTTACATGCGAATAAATTCTGAAGTGCAGAAATACAGTTTTTTTACCTTCAGGGAAAAGTTGGAAGAAATGACGTCTGGCGAGTCAAGGAATTTGCATTGAAATACGATCGAAGTGACGCTGTGTTCAATGGGACAACTTTTCTTGACGGTGAGCTTTCTTCATTTCTAATTTAATTACTGATTATGTTTCAGCTGGTTAATTGATTCATTACTGTATTCTTGTTTTAGGCGGACAACCATTGGTGGTGACGGACCCAAAGAAGCTCCATTTCCAAGTGCCCCATGAAATGTCCTTGGCTTGTGATTCTGACAAGAAATTCGATTTATTCGGAAAAACGAAGGACGACGGATCTGTTGTCGCCATTATCCATCACATGAAGTTTCATCCGTTCCTCGGAATGTCCGGCACATTTGGAGAAGGTAAACTTGGATACCGCATTTACTCAAATACGAGAATCCAGCAATTGTAAAACGTCTTCTGGACAAATAAATCCCTGTGATGAAGGGATTAAACATAATTTTCTTGAGAAAAAATATGAGGTAGTTTTTCGATATCTATACTGGTGCTCCATAGATACAATTGTTCAATTTTCTCAAAAGCTTCTGGCAGGAATCAGTATTACAATAAATCTGGTGCCTTTCACACTAAAAAATTGTACAGGCAGTGAGACCCCGAGATGCGGATGTTATTGGTGCATCAAGAGTGTCCCTAAGTCAAGTCTCATTTTCCCTTAGTCTTACATTATATAATTTTTAATTGGTGTTCTATGTACAAAATACTCACCATAATTCCATGAAAATAAAATTGTCTCCCAATTTAAACTGATTCCAATCAATACATTTCAACACAATATGGACATTTGAGGAATTGAATACTGATACCTCTGTACAGTACATAGAAATGTTGACATTTTCTGCAAAAATAACATCAAGTGAAAAAGAGAGAAACAATTCACTCTCTGCTGGATGCAATTTTTTTAATTAGCTAAAAGGATGGTAAATTGGTGAGAGAAATGCCCAATAACTTTTCCCGCATCAATTTTAGGGTTGGTTGGAAATACTGTATATGTTTATTGTAATTTGGCCTGAAATGTATTTGCAATTTTATCACAAAATGTCCTTATGTTGAGTCAGTGTCCTCATGTCAGGCCTTTATTATTAATTTTTATGAGAAAATAAGTGTCCCTATGTCAAATTGTCCACAGGTCAAGGTGTCCACATGTGGGGGTCCCACTGTATTTTAGGCGTAATTTGTATTCAAAACATGACATTTGTCAGAATCAATCATGCGCTTATTGAAGTGCAAAATAATTGAATTTAAAGCAATATTTTTCTAAAACAAGCAGTGCCATTTTTTAATCTTGCATTTCAGCATAGTGAATTGCTTCTTTGATCATTTGCTCTTCAAAATTTTCAGAACACAGTGAGAAAATGATGAGAATTCTCGTACTTAGAAGCACAGTACTTTACTTCAGAATGCTGCACAGGGGGCCCCGAGATGCCGACGTAATTGGTGCTTGGACTTGAAACGTCCACATGTCGGATCCCATTTTCACAGCTTTGAGTTCAATGGTAGCTTATTTAAATGGTTATCCAGTTCATGAAAAATTACGAATAAGTCCCCCAAAAATTGAATGAATTGCATATCATCAACTTCGTGATGCGGAAAATAACTCCAAAAGCAACATACAGAATCAATCTTTAAGCATCAGAAGAAGCCCAAGAAGCGAAGAACAAGGATGTTATACTGCGTATATACAGATGTTGGAAAATCTACAAAAATATAAGCACAAAATTGGCATGTTTTCTTAATGAATTTGAGTAAATTTATAGCGAGATTCATTTTGAGCTTTTGTGAATACAAGTATAAAAACTAAAATAAATTTGGTGAGAGATATCAAAATGTAAAAATAAATTTTCCATTTGACTAAAAATGTTCAAAAAATGTCCATATCTTGAGATGTTGTCTGGATGTCCAGAGCAGGTTTCTTATGCATTTCACGTGTCCCTCAGATGATTTGTCCGCATGTCGGAGTGTCCATACATTAGGGCCCCACGACTGTACTTCGGTATTCCTAGATTTCAAAAATGCAGAAGAAATACTATTATTTTTTTTTCTTTCAAGTTTACTGGTGTCGACCGGACTTCGATGAACGTGTGCCGATAGCAGTTGGGAGTGTGATGGCTGTCATGACTGTTGTTACCGTAGCTGGATACGCGCTTTTCAAGAAATTCCGACCAAAGAAAGCAGATTACGACACTATGGAGTAACCTTGGCACTACATATTTGCTCTTTCAGGTGATCAAAAGATTTCTTCTTCACCAAATTGTCAAAAAGAATTTGAATATTCAGGAGATTCTCAAAGAGAGTTATTTAGAATGTTCGATAGTATCGCATCTTGAAACAATTATAAATGCAGGGATTTTCGGAACTCCTTCAAAAATGCTGTTCATGTTAACTTGTATATAAACTTCAGGGGAGTGCTCATTATCCTCCCCAAGAATTTCAATCGAATGTCTTGGTTTGGAAGCCATAAAAAATTATTTTGCACCTGAAGAAATATTTTTTATAGAACCTGCACAGGTGTAATCTTGATTGCCAAGAGAATGGGATGCACACAAGCGTGCAAAAAATGAAGAAATCCTAGAATGATAAAATATTACTCCATAAAAAATGTTTCCTAGTAGAAATGTTTGGATGACAGGGAGTTTTGCGAGGCTGGCACAAGAGGGTGTTTTCCAAAGTTTTGTAATATTCGAAATCTCTCCCTTCCCTTCAAAAAACAATCATTTTTGCCCAACTGCAATTTGTTTATGTCATTTGCAACAGGTTGGGTCACTGTGAAATGTGCACAAAACTGCGTGGATGCAGAAATTGCTGTGAATGTGCGCCGAAGAAGAGAACAAGAAGCCCAGAATTTGTACATAGAATGGTATTCAATGTTGTGCGGTATTTGTCAAATATTTGTTGCGCATTCGTATTCTGTGTTCACTCAACAGCGAACTAAGTTACGCAAGAACTGTAAGACTTTAAATAATTACAGTATTGACAAGGCAATTTTACTTCTGCGCCCACGTTCTCGGAGTCAAATCCATGATAATGGAATTTCAAGTACTGTACACTAGAAAAAAGCTTTTTGTTTGATGCAACGAATTCCACAAAATAAAATTTCCATCAACTTCTGTCTTCCGAACAGACAAGTCCTTCACATTTTTGAAACGAATTACATACATTTTCAGAATGGAGATATAAGTTGAATCAAGACTACAATATTTCGAACAACCTTTCGTTTTACTCCACGTTTATCCTTCTGCTTGCCTTTTATTCCAATCTGGAGACAGGTTATTCGAACAGAGAGCTTTTCTTCAGGTGAAATGCGTAAATAATATGCACATCATCGCAGATTTTCAACTTCAATAATCACATACCAAAAAAAAGGTTTGTATGAGTTCAGATATAAGGCGAGCTTGCAGTGTTGATTGTTGGTGTGCCAAATATAACGCTGATGAACAAGTGATCGTTACTGAATTATTTCACATAATTTTTTTTGTTTTCAGGAGACTTAAGGGCATGTTATTGTGAAAACCCCCTACAAATACTTGGCCAACCATCCTTAGAAATTCATGAGGTCAAATTTTACGGAACAAGAAAAATGAAAATCTAAATTTCACACCTTGAATTTTGGATTTAAAAAAAAACTATCGCCGAGCAAGGCATGCACCCCATTTCTAGTGAGTGAAAAGCTTCAATTCTTCCAAGATCAATATTTAAATTTTCATTGGAATTGAACGAGGATCGAATTAAATTTCAATTTTTTAAGTTTTCAAATTGTTACAATGCGTCCATATTTCAAAATTAAAATCACTTGTGACATGCATCTAAACTCTTAAGTTCTGAAAAATTGTATACCTGCCTATGATATGGGCACACGATATTTCTTTTGATTCTGAAGAGAAGGTGCATGCGGAACTTGAGTAACTATTTTATTCCCGCTGTAATTACGATTTTTGCCAATTTGGCAAAACGTTTTAAAAACCCTTTCCAATGCTCCACTCCCCCGCAATCGGCAGTCACGACTCAGGAAAAAATAGTTCGTGTCGTTCATATCTGTTCACTGTGTTTCTAAATTGAGATCCTCCTTTCATATGAACAAAAACCATTGTATTCACAAACCTTCCAATCTTCACAAAATCAACTCGACTTTCTCCTCAACCAGAATCAGAACCGGACTTTTCCGCCGCACCCTCGCCTTCGGCTTGACCCTCGCCCTCCGAGGATGACCCCGACGAAGATGAGGAGGATTTGCTACTCGACGACGATGATGAGTCTGATCCAGAGGATTTTTTGGATCCCTTCGAACTGGATTTCTTGGATTCCTTCGATGCTGCTGATTTGGCATCAGAATCGGAACCAGAGCCTCCACGCTTCACACTACCCTTGTCACTCTTCTCGTCCTCGCTATCGGAAACTGCCCGCTGGACGCGTCTCTGTTTCGGCTTGTCAATGTCACTATCAGAGTCATCCGAAGAATAAATCGCTCCGGCTGTGAACAGAACAATGATAAAGTCAATTCAGCAGAGGATAATTAAATACAGATTCCTGAACGAGCGAATCCAGCAGAAAATTTTCGTTTCCATTTGAAAATGGTACTTATTCCGAATGCATTCGAAAGTGGTACCCTCCATAATTCATGCTTTGTATAACGGATTTCTTCAAATAATGGACAAATATGTCTCCCATTTATGCTACGAATATTCGAGGAAAGTTTTGGATAACGAAATGCACGAAAAATAAAATTTTCAGGATACAAAAATGCACAACTGCTTAAGGAAACGTGACTGTCAATCCTTTCAAGTGGACAAAAGCCATTTTCATATTCTAGTTTCTGTTGAGCACGGTTTCTGAATATTTTTGCAATTATTTCACGCGTTTCAAAAGTATTATTCAATAATACATTTGAGACTTCGCGAAAATACCAACAATACACAATGAGATTTTTGGAGTCCAGAATACCCATTTCAGTACTGTATCTCATAGAATCCATCAACTGAGACACCACTATGATGATTTGATACAGTTCGAATTCCGCACACTTCCGGAAGTATAAATCTAAACAAACTTTCCAACAACGCATCGAAGGACGCCCGACAAATTTATAGGAATATGCACAACGTCGACGCACAAACTCGGCAAATGTTTCTCATTCCCCAAAAGGCAAAAAATATATATCAAGAATCCTTACCAAGAAGCATACGATTTTCTCTTGATTTCGTTGTTTCAATAAATTTTTCATGCATACTTGAATAAAAAATTATTCATGACGCCAGAAAGAATTCGAAGGAATTATTTCGGATAACTAATATAATAAATGAAATGCTCCCGTGACCACCCAAGTCATCGTAAGAGAATTTTCAGTCGCTTTCGGTGGAAGCTTGTCCTTCAATTTCACTCGGGAACGGTTCAACCATCAAGATTTGAAATACATTACGCGTCATAAAAGTTAATGGAAATCATAATTCGCCCGCCCATGGACAACATAAAAACGACCATAAACGCCACTCACCCTTGGCTTTCTCTTTGAACTTGTTCTTAATGGCGGTGAGTGAAACACCTTCCTCTTCCTCATCAGTTTCACCGCCGCCTTCGAGATATCCCGCAGTAAGTCCTTTGCCTCCTGCAGCTCCTCGCTCACGAACCCGTTTCTTCTTTTGCTCGCGGCGAAATGCGAATCGGAGCTTTTCTTCCTCGCGCTTGATTTTCTCGTAGCGATTCGCTTCCGGATCCATGCCGACTTCAGAGATGATCTTGATTTTCTGGGTCTTCTGGGAACGATCAGCGAGGGAAAGGGTGATTTTGCGATGCGTGAATGAGTCGGTGGAATGCGGTCTGAAGCTCAGCTTGCTTCTGAACACTGCTTGTCCCATCAAACCAGTGCCTTGGCGGACGAACAAATGGTTCATGTCGTTCTGAAAATATTATAAAATGTTTGAATCAGTAAAAGATTTTTGCAATTTGAAATCGTTTCCACTATCAGATAATAATTAAAAGGAGTGCCCCAACCTTTATGGGCCTGCGGATCAGCCAAATTCCGTAGAATGGTAGCAGATTATACAAAGTTTTGCTCAATGGCAGGAATATAAAAGGTTTCTGCTCTTTTTGCAAAAATTAAGAACCAATGAAGCAAATACAGTGGAATGTCTTCTTGAAATAAGAAAGGTTTCTCATGATGAAAAAGTTGAAATAATTTAATAAAGCAGATGAAAATCTGTTTAAAGTTTTATTAGGAGGATTGCTAACTTTTATTTTTTCATCAGATAATTTCAACTGCTATTGTCCTTCAAAATTTTCAGATAAAAATAACAGACTCCATCGCTACTTCTGAAAAATTTTTAATGTAGCAGTAAATTTCCTCGCGGACCAGCAAAAAACTTCTGCGGTCCGGCGCCGATCCGCGGGTTGTAAACACCGATTTAAAAATGCTTTTAATGCAGGCCAAGAAAAAAATAATTGGAAAGTACCTGAAGCGGTTGCTTGTAGACATCGAAGATTTCAGAGCCTAAATACAAGGACATGCTACCATCGGACCACTTCACGATTCGAGCATTACTCTCTTTCACAGTATTTTGTTCCTCGTCAAATCCATAACGCCAACGAATCGTGTTCTCAACCTTCAGTTTCAACCTCGCACGACCTTCTTCGTCCTGAGTTTCTTCTTCGTCGATCTCGTCTTCGTATGTTTCGCGATCAAACGGCTTCGGATCGACGGAAAGGAAATTGGGAAAACGGACGTAGAAAAATTCTTTGCCGAGATCGGCTGCAATGCGCGGAATTTCTGCTTCGATCCGAGCTTCAGACTGTTGTTCCGGTTGTTCTTCCTCTTCTGGCTGATCTCCCCTTTCTATGTTATCTTCACCATCTTCCGGATCACGATCCTAATGCATTGAGTAATGTGCTGCATTAGGTCAACAATTTCGTGGAGATTCCCCAAGTTCTCATTTTGTCGTTTCAAAAAATTGGGGAAATTGCATCGTCAAAAATTTAGGAAAATTGCAACTGAAGGAATTCAGATGACTGGAGTCTCAAAAACCATTAAACTAATCATCAGTATAGTAGCAGTAAGGCGTATCAAGATAAAAAAAAAAGGGTTGATTTCCTCGACTTCCATGACACTTGAAGAAACTAAAACGAACACACGGAAAAAATTGATGGCTTCAATGATCAACTGGAATGAGCTTTCGATCACTCAAAATTGAAATGACATGATAGGATTTTTCCATTTCCGTCGCGGTCAAGTAATGGAAAATCGTTAATTGAGAACACTCGACGTTTAGATCGTCCCTTTTCCCGTAACTCTACACAATTTCGCGATCACAGTAAAAAATTAAATAAATACATATACATTCTTTGACAGAACTTCATGTAACATACCTCATCATCACCGCGTTTCGGTGAACGACGGTAATCCTCCAAATCGTCATCGTCTCCACGGACTGGCGACCTTTTAGCAGAATCATTCTCATCCTCCTCATCGGAGCTAACGTCACCGAGAATATCCTTAACAGAAATTTCTCCTTGAGCTTGGCTTTCGTCAGCAGCTTTCTCACTTCCCGCACTACTACTATCACTAGAAGCAATCCTTTTCCGCTTGACTTGTTTAATTGATCCGGACGAGTCAGAATCGTTGTCAGAAGCATCAGCTCCGAATAGATCTTTCGACGTAACTGAGGGAAAATCCGTAGCGATGATACGTATGGCTCAATTTGCTCGATAAATGAAGCATCTAGAAACCCGGGAATCGGGTATACCTTTCTTGTCATCGTCTTCTTCATCAGAACCACGCTCAGATGCGATCTTCTTGCTGCTTTCCTCTTCTCCGCCGCTGTTCATTTCAGCATCACTGTCACTTTTTTCTCCACCTGTTCCCACAAGAGCAACTCATATACAGAACTTCGAAACAAAACAGGTAGGGAGAAGATAAGTACCGGCGACTTCTTTTTCTGACGAATTACTGCGAGAACGAGCTGGATCACTCCGCATTTCTACATCTTCCTCATTTCCTGAAGGTTGAGGCGTTGCCGGCTTGGGGGAAGATTCCACCGCAGCCGGCTCATCTATTCGATACAAGATTAATTGGAGACATCTGGATCATTCAAACTTTGCGGCTTTTGCTCACCAACGTCACTACCGGTAGGAGTATTCTGATCATCCCTGGTTGCAGAATTCGACAGAGCTGGATCCGGTCTCGGCATGTTTGCAGGTAACTCCCCATCTCCTTCTGCTCCTTCGCCTTCCGAATCGGATGAGCTTGAGCTTGACGACGATGAAGACGAGCTGCTACTATTTCCAGAGCTGGACTCCGAAGACGACTCTAAATCACGAACAGACATACGTTCTCTCACATGTTCTCTTCTGAAATCGTAGGATTCCTTACCTTGTTCGTCGTCACTTTTTTCCTCTGCAAGTCCAGAAGATTCTTGTGCACCCAGATCAAAACGCATCTTGCTTAAAATAATATTGAATCTTTCCCACTGCACAAATGAAACGGGTTCACGTTACGAAAATCATAACCATGATCAAGCAAAAATCGAACAGAGGTCCGCCGGCCAAAAAATATACCGCGATCCTTTTTCATGATACCAAACCGCCAGAAACGATCAATCACAGGACGACGCGCATCTTTCACAATTCGAAAAACACAAGAGTACACCGCGTACAAATTCTCCCCGTGAACCGTCCGCGACATCCATGCCCTCCTCCGTGCCCGGCAGATCTCCACTAGGTTCAGCTGTGGAATCAGTCTTCGGCGGTTAAATTGCACGACAAAATCAGCCTGGTGTACGTATAAAGTTACAGATGTCGCTATAAACAAAATGTGCTTATCCTCCATGAGTGCCCATCTGTCGGTCAATTTCAGAATCACAACGTAATTGCAACTTCAAAATTCTGGAACATGTTTTTCTAAGAATGGGACGTATTTTTGCTAGACCTTTTTCTCAAGTTTAATGAATTATTTTAGATTTATGAAGAATTGTTGAAGATGAAAGTTATTTATAGAGGGAATTTGCTGATACTGATGTATGCTGTGCGTTCGCTCTTCACAACATTTTGAAGATTTAAGAAGCCCGAATATAGCATCATAACATGTAGCAGCAGGTAATTTGCATTGCGTAATGTGAGTGCTAATGATGTTACCAGCAAAATACATTTGGTAAAAATCTCAAAATTTGATACTATTACTGCTGCTATATACTTGATTAACATGCACAAGTTTATTTGCGTGAAAAAGGTCCTGTGTAGACCTTTTTGAACTGAAGTAAACTTCCTAGGGAAAATTTGAAAATGTTGATAAGGACTCCAGCAAGCGAACTTCGACGTAGTGCGACACAAGTCAAACAGGAACTGGAAACTTTCCCCTTTTATTTAATTTTCAGGCATACTCAGCATATCTATTTTTATAGGACTTGGCACTGCAAGGGGTGATCCATGAGTTATTTTGATACCCTGAAACTTTAATCATCATCCAAGCTTGTTAAAAATTAATCCTGCTGTTTTTCCCTCAAAAACTTCCACCACTCGTCTTGTAAAAGATATGAAGAGCAGAGCTTGGAGTGAACATTCAACCTTTAATTAACAAACATGCAGCACTGTAATTGGTCCCAGACAAGAGTTTGTTATAACGAAATTCAATTTTTTGATGGGCTTCACTGGATACAAAATTGATGGCTTCCTTGTACCCGAGCAACATTTGAAATTATCAAATAACTTATGAGCCCGCAGATGATTGAGCTGTCCTGATTTCTTCCTTTAAAAAAGTTATTTACAGAAGTAATTTCCTCCTAAATTTCAATGAAAATTAGGAAAATGCGACAATCTTTTGTAAGAAACCGTGTTCACAGTTCACAACACATAACATGGGAGAGAAAGAAAATGTCAACAGAGAAAAAATATGATCAAGATTGAATCACCAGTAAGAATAAACAATAAAAAGCAGGCAAACGCTCAGTCTCTACCATGATTTTATCTCAACTGATTTTCTCCCTATAAATAATTTATTTTTCATCCTATAATATTTTTTCTCACCCCATGTGAATGGGTTTCTCTGCGACAAAATTCTCTCTACAACAAACTTCATTTTGTTGTTGAAAGAGTTGTACTTTACTCATATGTTAGGGTGTCAAACAGCAAACTGCATTTCAATGCAAAAATTAAATCGTTGTTATCTATTGTTTACTCCAAATAACTCTAGTTTTGTAAAATTAATTTTTGTTTGTAAAATAAGAAAAAAAGTTAACAAATTTTTTCTTTATACTGCATTTAAGAAAGTTTTTTAAATTTCATCTACTGAATTTTGGTTTGTTGACCTATTGGATTTTGTCAGGAATCAACAACTTTTTAACCTAAAAGTTTCTCAACCTGGGGTCAAATCTGTTGCCTTTAAAAGTCCCAAGAAAAGATTTGCACAAACAGCAAATGCGTTTGATTAACTGCATGAAAGAATGCAGTACATTATTGGATATACTCTACTGTATACTTCCATCGAGAAGTAATTTTATTAAAAGTGAAAAACAATTTTCTGAATCAGATTGAAATTAGGCATAACTTTATCAGTCGTGAATATTAAAAAAAATGTATCAAATAATTCAGCATTGGTCTCAAAATTCATGGGCCATCCCTCGATCGTGTATTTTTAGGTCCCAAAAAATAAGACCTCGATTTCGAACTGCTGCCCATTTTCCCCCCCCAAAACCCCCACAAAGCGTCATCGCAACACTTTGTTGACGCCTCATCCGCAAAAAAAAAAAATATCCCGCAGCAACTTCAAATCATGTTTTTCTCCCCCAAAAAATCACACACACACAAGTTCCAAAAAAAAAAAAGGAAAAGACGAGGGATCCGTGCTGGACAATGACTGACTGGTGAACCGAAAAGTTGAACCCTCGGGCATGAGGTTATCCTTCACCGAAAAAAGAAGGGGGCCCAGCAGACGAGAAACCCAGCCAGGTGAGGATTTAATTTGCAGGTGCCCCAACGACGACGACGACGAGTAGCAGCAGCAACAGCACAGCAACACTCCACCAAAAAAAAGAGAGATAAAAAAAAGAAGATCCCGTGAGTTTCTGGGGGCAGAAGGGATAATAAATCGCACACCCCGACCCCCTGAGGGGTTGGCTCATCCCCTGCTGCAAAAGAAATATTTTTTTATCTCTCTCTTTTTATAATCTTTCAAACATATACGTATAAAGATGCACAGAGGAAGAAAGAAAAAAAAAAGAGAGAGACTCGGAAGAAGAAAAAAGAAATGCTCATATCCACGCAAACATGTATGTGGCTTGCTGGCTGGCCATCAGATTCCGAGAGCAGACAAGGGAAAATGTTTTCGCAATCCTTTTCCCCTCTCTCTATATATTTTTTTTGCTGTTTTTTGTAGCGATTTTTGCACAAGTTTTTCCCGTGTGCCTGTCAGAAAGTGCACCTGAGTTTGTTGCTTTCTGATGCTGTGTTGCTGCCAGCGGGATCAAGTCCTGGAATGCTTCAAGGTAGTATAAAACACAAGAAAATAAAAAGGAGTGGGTTCTAAGAGAACACCTGGGGATTTAGCATTAGGACTAGACCTGCCATGTAGCATATAGCTGTCACTTCAGATTGAAGTCGACATTCTCTTTTCGAGGAAACGTGATGATAATGTTTTTCTCCCTGTTTCACGAATTCATTGGAGTTGCACTCATTGCTTCACCTCAACTTAAAAGGAAATACCTTTGGAGATGACATGAAAATTCATGACATGTTATGTCCTATAATTACTTCGAAACTTCCACTTGAGATAGACGTAGTTTTAAGTTTCGTGATCCCTTTTTAGCATGGTAGAGGGAGTTTTGTAGTAGAGGACACCTACAACATGGGGAGAGAACCTTATGGGACCAAATAAAATTTCATTCTACAGAGACAATTGTTGCAGACTATATAAAACAAGATTGTTGGAAAAAGCATTGTGAACTCTCTCTAAAACAAAATTCAAGGCCCAGAAATAATCATTGTAGTAGAGGGAATTTTGTTGAAGAAAACTTCTACAACATGGAAGAAAACCCAGGACAGAAAAAATTTGTTTACAGAGAAAATCATAACAGAAAATATCATTGTAGAGAGAGTCCATCTGTGTAGTCATTACTTGAAAGGTAAAATATCTCTGGAACAAAATGTAAGGGGTCAGAAATAATTGTTGTACTGTTTAGGAAGAATTTAGTTATAAAAATTCATAGCATGAGCAACAACCTTGTTGGATGCAAAATTCTTCATACAGAGAAAATTGCTGCAGACAAGATTTTTATGAATGAATGAATGAATGAATGAATGAACAGAAAACTTTATTTGCCGCTTTTCAGCATTCACAAGGAATAACCAGAACTCCCGCATCCAAACCCCCTCCCGACCCAACCCAACTCCCCCAAATACATTCAATCA